GCAGCTCGCAGCACTCGTGATGGAACGGCGCAGCTAAGGGATAAGCTCGAGGGAGGAAGCTCGTCGTGTGCAGCTGCGTTGCAACAAAAGGTCCAATCGCGGCGCTTTGTCAGCGTCAGCAGTCCGGTATCTTCGGCACCCGTTAGGCCCCCGTCGGAACACTCGGATTGGAGTAGCTGGAGCAGCTGGAGCTTGGCCCTCTAATTCTTGCGTTTTCCAAGCTGCACGACCGTTCCCCACTGACAATTAACGTTGATTAATTGGCTGGAAGCCGCCGAGAAAGTCTCTTGGTGTTTCTTTGACGCAGGATTCGAGATCGATGATAGTGGGCCAACACGAACATGACGAGTTTGGCGGGCTGCATGCAATTAGGTCACGAGAGTGATGACTACCATCCAACCCACCAGTTCGTAGAGACCGAAGGAATTGGTGTCCGATTGAAGACCATGTCTTGCGATCTGGTGTTGGCGACCCCCAGCCGAGTGCCACGCTCAGTCATACGATGCACGGAGGGGTTGCATGAGACACTAAGAAGAGTGCCATCCGATGCGGGAGCCGGCCACTATTTGAGGAACCCTAGAACCATCGCAGCCCTTGAATGCTTTCAAAATTGAGGTCGGTAGCACGACGAATCTTGAACCAGACAAACGGGTCCATTGATCTGACGGCATTTCTGCCAGCATATGTCCGCTGCAAATCAATTGTGGGCACTGTCAGACCCTAAAAAGAACCGCTCATCTCACCAGGCTGTTCTTCTCTTCGTTGGTCGTTCTTACAACAAAGTCAGCCCAACGATGATCTTTACCGGACGAGTCCAGAATTACAATCCGGGGAAGTTTGGTGCGGAGAAGCCCGCAGGTTGAATCGACCGACCTCGACCGTATGCCCGACTGACAATGGCGGGGTTTGACGTGATCGGACCCCTGCGTGCCGCCTCGACTGCCCAAGGGCACATTCGCGTAATGCGCTACCCACGCACCCACGACCCAACGCGGCAGCAATCGTCATCTCATTGCACATACTCTTGGGCAGACAGTTGACGAGGCGCACGTACTTTTCGGTACTTCAGACAGCTAAGCCAACTAAGCAGCTAAGCCAACTAAGCAGCTAAGCCAACTAAGCAGCTAAGCCAACTAAGCAGCTAAGCTTCACCAAGCTACCTAAGCTTTCTCTTGTCAGGGGGGGATCATCCAACGGCCATGCGACCAACCAGGCCAAGCCTTGATACACCCTTTTGATGGCGACACCGACAGGCTGCTATGCTGTACTGTAACATAAGCTGCATGGAGGGACAGCGGTAACCCCGCAGTTTTGCGTTAGAGACGGGCTCTATTTGGATGCTCGCATCTTGCTGAGATAGGCTGGTTAGTCTGCCTCATTGTTCGCCAGACAGAAGTTTCTTTGGCGCTGGTGTACCTTTGACGACTTCAGGGCCCTCCACATCCCGTTGTCATACTCGCCCGACGCCCGCTCATTCGAAAGTACGGATGAGTACATGCGATGGATGGGCGACGTTCCCCGCGGTTCTAGAGAACGCCTACTACTGCGTAGAGACCAGTCAGGCATACCGTCTGCGGGTAACATGGTTATTTAATCTGATCGCCCCCGCTGCATCCCGCCGGCTTCACACGGGACGACCCTCTATTGCTCGCCGTTGAGACTGGTGCTCGTTACGTTGGGCTCGGAAGACTCTCATTTTGAACCAGCAATTGCAGCTTCGTCTGTAGTAACTTACTGCCATTGACGTCCGAAATTTACCAAGATGTCGGAGAAGAGACTTGACACCGATTCATCGTGAGTTACAACACTTTCTCTATGTTCAACACCACAAACAGCTTACTTAAGCATATCACAGCGTCCACAAGGACAATGTCTTTCACCATGACGGGGCTGAGAGAAAGCAGAGCATCGCCGAGCTCACCCAGAACCTCGAGGGGGAGATCCGCAACCCTCTGAAGGGAATTCCCAAGGCTCAACTCATGGAGCAGGTTGCTGTATATCAGAAGACTCAAGGCTTGCCCGACGATATTCTCCCGCTTCTCCAGAAAGGCGCCCTGGTGGCGCAGAATCCGGCCCTCTTCGAAACTCTGGACGAACTCGACGAGAGCGAGAAGATTGCTCTTCGGGAGGAAGTCACCCACAGGTGGAAGCACCCGTGGGCTCTGTATTACACCATCATCCTCAACTCGATCGCCGCAGCTATTCAGGGATGGGATCAGGTATGGCTTGAATGTCAAAAGACATTTCGCACGCAAATCGGCTCACTGAGTGGCAGACTGGTTCCAACGGCGCCAATCTCGCCTTCCCTACCGCTCTTGGTATTCCTGACTCTGCCGGCTCTGCCTGCGGCCCCGTTGCCAACGAGGGCGATTGCGCAAAGAACAGCTGGATTATCGGCTTCGTCAACTCCATGCCGTACATCACCATCTGTCTGTTGTAAGTATCACCAAAACAAGCTTTACGCGTATCCATTAAGCTTCGACTAAAACTGGATTTACAGTGCCGGCTGGATATCCGACCCCATGAACGAACTTCTCGGCCGACGTGGCGTCATCTTCGTCGCTGCCATCTTTTCTGTACTCGCTCCATTCGGCATGGCTGTATCGCAGACATGGGGCCAACTGGCAGTGTGCAGGTGAGTTTCCGTCGGCGACCTGATCATAACTCAATCGATCATTCGCTGATAACGCTTCTTTGACAGGATGCTCCTCGGAATCGGGATGGGTTTGAAAGAAGTTACAGTTCCGGTCTTCTCCGCCGAGAACTCCCCCACTCTCATCCGAGGCGGGCTGGTTATGTCTTGGCAGGTTTGGACGGCCTTTGGTAAGTAGTCCTTACAAAGTTGGCGCGGTTAAGCAGGTGTTGTCTTCTTCGTTTCAAAAATAGCTGACAAGTTTGATTGCGAAACCAAACAGGCATCTTCCTGGGCACATGCGCCAACCTTGCTGTTGGTAAAACCGGAGACATCGCATGGCGACTACAGTTTGGCTCTGCCTTCATCCCAGCTGTGCCGCTTGTGATTGGCACGTACTTCTGCCCTGAGAGTCCTCGATGGTACCTGAAGAAGGGCAAGACGGTCAATGCCTGGCATTCGTTGCTACGACTGCGCAATACACCTTTACAGGCGGCCCGCGATCTCTACTACATTCATGCGCTGCTGGAAGATGAGGTGGCTCTCGTGCGCGAGGCTGGCCTCAAGACTACCAGCAATTTGTTCACTCGATTTGTTGAGTTGTTCACGATTCCGCGTATTCGACGTGCGACATGGGCGGCGGGTATCGTCATGATTGCACAACAGATGTGTGGAAGTAAGTCTTCAGATCATCTCTACAATGACTCAACCAGTTTATGCTAACCCTCTGACAGTCAACATTATTTCCTTTTACAGCTCGACCATCTTCAAGGAGAGCGGCATCAGCGACTACACGGCTCTGTGGGCCAGCTTCGGTTTCGGTTTGATTAACTTCACCTTCGCATGGCCTGCAGTGTGGACGATCGACACTTTTGGTCGGCGAACACTTTTGCTCTTCACATTCCCCAACATGTTTTGGACCCTCCTTGGTGAGTTGTCTTGCTACGGAGTGAACCCTCATCGGTGCTGTCGCATGACGTTGACTTTTTGGGTGTAGCCGCCGGTCTCTGTTATCTCATCGACAAGGACAGCGAGAACAGCACAGCCAGAATCGCCGCAGTTGCAACCTTTGTCTACCTCTTTGCAGCCTTCTATTCCCCCGGAGAGGGCCCGGTCCCGTTCATGTACTCGGCCGAGGTTTTCCCTCTTTCGCATCGCGAGATCGGCATGTCGTGGGCCGTTGCGACCAACAACTTCTGGGCTTCCGTTCTGTCCCTTACCTTCCCTCGGATGCTGATTGCAATGACTGCAACTGGGGCTTTCTCATTCTATGCTGGTCTCAATCTAGTTGCCTTAGGTCTAATATTCGTGAGTTCACTGCTTCAGCCTATTATATCAAAGTCACTAACGCAGCATAGTTATTCGTACCCGAAACGAAGCAGAAGTCTCTGGAAGAATTAGACTACGTATTCGGCGTTCCTGATCGGACCCACGCCTCCTACCAGCTTTTCACTGTCTTGCCTTGGTGGATCAAGCGCTGGATCTTCCAGAAGAAGACTGCGGTCTGCCCACCTCTGTACCACGACGAGAATGCCGACAACCACCGTGGTGGCGAGTGAGCACCACGTCAAGAGGATGCCCGTTGGAAAGCTTTCGAAGGTTCAAGTGACTTGGAGAGGGTAGGAGCTTCGTGGGGTTAGATGGAGTTGTTTGAGAATCTGGATTGTTATGGATGATTGATGTGGATGGGTTTAACGATCATGGATGTAATGCAGAAGACTGTAATTTCTTTCTGTCGTTTCCTACATCAGACCTTGACAGGTTATTCTTGATATACCCTTCGTTTCAAAGAGAACACTTGCCAATGTCAAGAGTATCAATGTTTTGCAGCCTAATTACGGTACATTATACCAAGCATGTGTGGATATTTCGTTGGATAAGTGATTCATGCTGTGTGGACTCGAATGACTACCTATTGAACGGATGAGGCAGGGGCTAATACCGGTATTTCTCCCCATGTCTGCTAGCTCTGTACCACACCCGGGGAGATAACCGGGGATAGCAACACGATTCCTAGATCGTCGCTACATCAGACGAATAGCAACAGCTAGGACCCATTCTCAGTAGCTCACGCGAGTCGAATTAAGGTTACCATGTGGGCGGTACATCCGGGAAGCTTCAGTTCTTTCACTGGGCTCTACATAGTAGAACGAGGCTACCTACTCGAAAGCTTGATGATAGATGCGCGGGATATGTTTTCCTTGGCACAGGGTCAGTGTCCATGTCGCGTCCAGTCCTATCACAGATATTTCCGAGGACTCTTTACTACTTGCCAAATTTCACTAGAAAGAGCAATCATTTCCAAAGCTTGTCTACGGACTGATTCAACAACGACTCTAGGAGGATCTGTGCTTCCCCTGATGCATCATCACCGACCTCTAGGCCCGTCAGCATCGTCCACATCCTCTTGGCTTCTCAACTGCCGCACACCGGTGTACCTCCAATTAGAGATGTACGTCTCAAATGCTTGCTCTCCATGCTTCCCGTTCGACGTAGCGTAGACACCCAAGACGACCCCTGAAACCTTGTCAGCGTGATCACGACGTGCGGTGGACTTTGACATACCAGAGTAGTACGGTACCAACTCAGTGCCCTTGCAATATCCAAATACTCTCATCTCTGAGTTCTCTCCTGATCCAGCAAGTCCGGCCGAGAAGGCAAAGTGCGTGCTGTTGATCGCCTCGATCTGAAGAGCAAGCTTCTGTCCAGCCCACCCGTCAGGCAGAGGGAACACTTGGTTTGGAGGGTTCTCCATTGCTCGGTAGGGTGTCTCTGAGATACCCCTGAAACGAAGGTGTGGTCGCAGATCTTGACTTCCATTGGATTTGAGCATGACGATACCCAAGTCAAAGTGTTGCGCCTGGTCTTGGATTGCTGATACACCGACTTCCATCTCTTCCTTTGTGAGTGACTTCGACCAGTCGACATCCACACGGAAACGGAACAGAGAGTGTACCATGCGGCGTCCGATGAAAGTCTGTCCCCGTCCCAACGCGAAATCTGCGTCAAATGCTGTGAGGTTGAGAACTGATGATTTGAGTGCGAGAGTATTCCAGTGCTCCGGAGGTGAGACGGCATAGTTCCTTGATTTGGGCAGACGCCAGTGCACGAAGTGAATCGGAAGTTTGCTGCCAGGAGGAAAGGTGACGGCATCATCTGCATCACTGAGCTGTCCTTCGCCTTGCTCGGGAATAGCTTCGGACGGTAGCGGCCAACCGGACATATCGCCCGTGACAGGTGTGAAGACAGGGAACTCCCCTTCATTCCATGTGACTGGCGTGAGAACGGTTTCTCGACCCATCGGCAGGTTTCCAAAGTAAGCCCCTGGATCCTGACCGTATGTGCCGCCGGCACGAACCGCCAGAGCGACGGACCACCATTGACCCTTGGCATCTTGGAAGAGATCTGCATGTCCGACGGCCTGGAAGTATGAGCTTGTGTTGTTCGCTGAAGTTAGAAGAGGGTTCCCAGGTGCAGGCTCGTAGGGGCCGGTCAAGTTTCGTGAACGTGCCATCGTGACCATGTGATTCTCGCGCGTACCACCTTCAGCGAGGAGGAGGTAGTAGTAGCCATCTCGCTTCCAGATGTGCGGTGCTTCAGGGGATCGTCCACCCGTACCGTTCCAGGGCATGATGATGTCTCCAATCTCACCAGTCTCGAGGTCTAGTGGTGCGTGCATAATACCAGGGTAGTAGGCTGCGGTGTGAGCGCCTGAGACGTATGTCTTGCCGTCGTCATCCCAAAACGGTGAGGGATCGAAGCCCGGGAAGCTGAAGTGGACAGGATCGGACCAGGCATCTGAACTGTAAGGGTCTGTTGCCGTGAGAACGAAGTTGTCCCATCGGCTATCGTTCGTCCTTGGTAGCTGTTGATTAACTAGTGTACAGAGTAGATAAAAGATGCCTTGATGGAAGCGGAGAGTGGGTGCATAGATCCCACTTGTGGCTTTTGGTAGAAATGCCATGCCGGGAAGCTGGTCTGCTCGGCTGAAGGCGTTCGAGACATGTTTCCAGTGGATCAGGTCTCGACTTGCGTGGATTGGTAGACCCGGGAACGCGAGGAAGCTTGACGTTGCGCAGAAGAACGTATTGTCAAGTTCAGGAACGAAGATACAACTTGGATCCGGATTGAAGCCGCTGATGATTGGGTTTTGGAAGGTGGAGTTCTGCGCTTGGCTGAGCCCGAGGAGGGCCAGCATCGAGAACAAGAGCTTGCCCTTCATGACGACGAGATTGGGAATGGCTGATCTCAACAGAGCATTCGAGATAAAGGATCCCAGCCTTTGCGTAGTCTTCTTACGAGAATCAACCCCGCCTTTAACATGTCTTCAGAATCCCGAGGCTGTGGATAACCCCGCGTAGGATCCATGGAAAACTCACATCGTCGGGTTCACAACCGGAGGTGGAGTTGTCGAGGATCGGAAGACCGGAGACCAATTTTCGGTTCAGTGAAGTCACGATCCGGCGCTTTTCCGAGGCCCCGGTTCACTGGCGAGTCCTGATCGGGGGGTTCTGAGTTTAGCCTGAATCGCCATCTACCGATCTTGTCCAGCTTTGGGGGACCCCAGAATGCGGGGAAGACGCAACACGACCTGAGCCAAGCCCCGACACATGGAGCATGGTACATTTCCGTACGTTTCTCAGTGTTGAAAAGCAACGAGCTTCTGAACATGCAAGTCATTATTGATGCATATCCGTTGATGTCACTATTTACGGTACTTGGGTGTTTCTGAGTTACAGTTCTCCGACAAAAGCATTCTACTACTTCTTCCCAATCTACCTTACCCAAAGAGGCGTCTTTCCTCCACGCAATCGAACAAATTTCTATAACCAGTGACGCACACCTAGTGTCTTCTCTTTTGGAAGTCATCCCTACACTGCTTCAAAGTCTTCCGTTGGTTGCCCTGCTCGTCGAAGTTGTCCTTGCTCAACCAAGACTCGAGTCCGCCCTTGACAGCAGGCCATTCATCGTCCGTGATGCTAAACCAGGCTGTGTCTCGGCGCCTTCCCTTGATGACCATGTGCTTCCTAGAAGATGTGAGTTAAATTGAAATTGAATGACTGGCTGAAGCTTACCTGAAAATGCCTTCATACACAAATCCAAGCCTGTCGGCGGCCGAAAGACTCGGCTTGTTGAGGTGGTTTGCCTTCCACTCAAGCCTTTGGTAGTTCATGTTATCGAAGGCTTTCTCCATGAGGAGATAAAAGGTTTCTGTTGCTTGTCGGGTGCGCTGAAGTTTCTCACTGAAGCACACTGAACCGATCTCGATACGCATATGAGCTGGTACAATTGACATGTATGTCATGAAGCCGACTGGCTCAGCTGATGGGTCCGAAAGCGGGGCTGACATGACCGTAAAGTACAGAGGGTCTTGCGACTTGCTCCATGCCGTAACATCTGCTTCGAACTTCTCGTACTCAATGTACGGGTCTTGAAAAAGGTATGTCCACAAATGGGCATTCCCTTCGCCGCCGACATGTTTGAATAAAGCCTTTGCGTGCGATGGTTGTAGGGGAACGAGGGCCGTATACCGTCCATGAAGCGGGTCACGGGTCGGGGCCTGTGCCGGGGCGCCGAGCGAGATCTTGGGTCCAAGAAGACTGTCCATTGTATTTCATCAACAAAGTGAATTGAGGGAAAGGAGCAAGGTGAGATCAATGATGATTCCAGATGAAGATTTTTGAGGTTTGATATATGTTCTGAAATGACTCACTCGGAACATTGCAACGAGCGAAGGATCGGCCATTTAACTAGTTACTGCAGCCAACCTTACCTGTTCCTTTCGAGGAGTCCACAATTGCGGAAACACGCCGATTACGCCATGACCTGCCTCCGGTCAAGCTCCCATTGTTGGGTTTAATTAGTGTCGAGTTCCAATTGAATGGGCGCTTTACTTGTTGGCTTCGAGTTTATTATGGAAACTGTTACGATCAAGGCCATTCTTGGACCACCCGCGCGCGAATCTTCTTCTTCTCATAGGCAATGTTCAGCCAGCTAGCCGCCGAGACAAGCATCCCTGGACAGCTACCAACAGGCGTCCTTCCAACTTCCAACAAAGTCTCCTCAGCCAATGATCTTGGACGTAGCGTTCATCCTGCGATTCCGCCTCGGTGACGAATTCAAGACGATCATCATCATCTATCTGCGTGCCTCGTTTCTCTGAATTCTGTCTGATTCCTCTTTGATTGCTTGTTCTCAAATCTAGCGCGCGACAAATAAGTGACTGACCGTCGGAGCATACACTACCAAGCCAGCGGAGTAGCCTCTCGGGTCAAATTCCGAGCTGCAAAATTTGTGGATTCCAACTGGGTGAGTTGGCGTTGAAGAAACAAGGGAGCACCAACAGGGCGTTTCGCGTGCGGTCCGGCGCGTAGTTCCTCGGAAGTTGTAATGGCCGATCTTTTGGGATCTCACATTTGAAGTCGTCCTTCTCGTTCCCGCATGACCAAGACCTTCAACTCAACCTTCGCGCATGTCGCTGTGCGCACTCTGATCTTGCACTGCTCCCTATTCTCTCGTAATCTCATATTGTCCTCATGGAGTACGGCTACGCTCCTTTGCAGTCTGGTCGCTGCATCCGGGCTATTCACCTCTTACCTTCGCAATCATTTGATGCCCAACTACAATGTTATATCCGAGAAATCGACATCGACCAAGAAGACGCTCTTACTTTCGAGGCTATATCTTACACATGGGGTGAACCGAAATTCTGCCGCACTCTGCATGTGAACAGACATGAGAGCTGTTTCCGCATCACGCAGAGTCTTTTCGATGCTCTCTGCCGCTTCCGCCTCAAAGACAGGCCCCGCATTCTTTGGGCAGATGCTGTGTGTATCAATCAGAAAGACGACAGCGAGAAAAGCTCTCAGATTCCGCTCATGTCCGACATCTATCGCAGGGCAGAGGGTGTCCTGGTCTGGCTCGGAAACGACGCTGATGCGGAGACAGCCATGCGCACTCTCAGCTGGATGAGTAGAACGGTCGGTCCAACGCTCGAGGAAGACCAGCGAAAGGCCCTTCTCGACTCCTTGGACGCCTTACTTCAACGACCTTGGTTCAGTCGCCGCTGGATCATCCAGGAGGTTGTGCGTAACCACGACGTGGAGATGCACTGCGGAACAACATCGCTGTCATGGACCAAGCTGATTGCAATTACTTCGAAGCTTGGGAAACTCATCGGGGCAAAGAACCGACAAGCTATCGATTCAGTAATCCAGATGCGGAATATCTGGAAAAGTCTTGTGCTTCTCGAAGAAACCGGAGCCGGCCACAGTCTACTTGAGAACTTCCATGCTTTCAGTCATTTTGGATGTGCTGATCCTCGGGATCGTATCTTCGCTCTTGCAGCACTATCATCGGATGTGTCCATGACCACAGAGCCGAAGAATCACAAGACCAACGGCTACATTGAATCAGAATCATCTGCGTATTCGGCTGGAACTCAGCCTCACGAGAGACTCTTTTGCATTGTTCCTGACTACCGCAAGTCTATGACACAGGTTTACACTGCATTCGCTGCTGAAGCTGTTCGGAACGGGCTGCTTTCTTGGTTACTATGCCACACCTGGCATCGGCGAACTTCCGATGAATTACCCGCCTGGGTACCTGACTGGCGCATTGCGGCTCCCGACAGACCCCATTTCGTCAAAGAGATTCTAGAAAGATCCTCTGGTCGGGAGGGCCAGGCCTCTCATGGCCTTCCGATGATGGCTTGTTGGCCTAAGACCCGACTTCGAGGGAATGCTTTGAGAGTGAGGAACTTCAACATCCTGCTACGTTCAAACATATCACTTCCTGCCCAGTCTCTAGAGGAATTTAGGGATGAGGTCTTCGTCAAGCCGCTCTGGAAAAGCACACCCATGGACTTTCAGGCTGGAGCTGACCCCCTCGAGTGCATCGAGTTCCTTATAACCAGCGTGCAAGACTTTCTCAAGGACATGAAGCAAGTGAGTATCCTCAACCGATAGGAACCCACTACCCTTGGATGTGCCGCTCATACCTTATAGTCTCCGTTTGACGCTTTGGATGTTAATGACGCATTCTTCTGTCTTTGGAGTTATCTGTTGGGCTACGGCCCCAACGCCACGTACTGGTGTGATGATAAGGCCCCAACCCTTGAGAAGATTACAGCACATGGAGTGCAGACAGACATGTTGGCCTTCAGTGACCTCAACGGTGGCCATTTCATGGTATGCGCTCAAGGTAATGAGGACGAGCAAGTGTCCTTCCTCGCTTTCACCCCGGATGACGTTGACTTAAACACCGATTTAATCATTCGGCCCGAGAATTCCCTTTCTTTAGGGATGCGTTCCGTACAAGCAAGGGTTCGACCTGTGAGAGTTTCGTTGATTCTGCGAGAGTGTGAGAACTTCAGGGTCTCTCAACCCTGGACGGACAGTCCTCTAGGTTTTTCGAGCAATCGCTTCAAGCTCCGTGGGCAAGCCCTGATGGTTGGGATTCAGAAAAACCATAACACCTATGGCGCTCGGAAGGATGAGGCTATGTACAAGCTGAGCTACGACTTTGATTTATGTTGAGTGTAGATTTTGTAGATGGGTTGGGTCTACCAAGTCGTTGATATCACAACACATGGAGATATGTCATCTTTCTAAAGGATAGTGAGCATACCTGCGCGCCCCGAAATAATGTGGACAATTCAACAGCAAGAGTATTTGAGGAGAGACTGAGAAGGCGGGAGACGAAGCCTGAGACGAGGGCAGAAGCGATGAGCACAGCGATGAAGAAAACACGCATGCGGGTGTTCGCAATATTTAGAAAGGGTATGTACCTAGTGAAATTATATAGTCACTGCACCATGGGGGATGGGTTTTCATTTCGTATGGTGAGCGTTTAACTAAGTATTCGACCAAAACAGCCGTTCGAATCGCGAGGCGATGCAATCTCTTGGCAATTTGCAAGAGAAGCATGCATCTCATTGCGTTGGGCGCTACCCAAAGCAGCCCGCATACACGGGCTGAACTCCAATCAGCAACGCCGATGAACCGCGACACGAGGACCACTATTTTTCAAACCCCTCATCTCTCCCTTGCTTCTTGAAGTTTTTCCGTGACACCCACAGCACAGTCCGCAAAGCTCATCGATTAACTCTGCCAAACTCCACCGTAGACTGAAGGAACGCACATGACTCTACAAAAACGACGCTGCAAAACCGCCTGGCGTAAAAATGACTGACTTCTCGAAGTATACCGTTGGTTGGATAAGTGCTATCGCTACTGAGTACATCGCAGCGAGAACATTTCTGGACGAAATTCACGAGAATCCTCACGAACTCCCACATTACGACAATAATTCGTACACGCTCGGTCAGATCGGGAGACACAATGTCGTCATTGCAGTCTTACCTAACGGGACATATGGCCTGACTTCCGCAGCTGTAGTCGCCAGAAATATGATTATGTCGTTTCCGAACATTCGCATCGGCCTAATGGTCGGTATCGGTGGGGGGGCTCCAAGCCCGAGCCACGATATTCGTCTGGGAGATGTTGTAGTTAGCACTCCAACGGATCAATATCCTGGCGTTTTGCAGTACGACTCGGGGAAGACCATTCAGGATCAATCATTTAAGAGGACGGGATCTTTGAACGCGCCACCTCAAATACTCTTATCAGCTGTTATGACTCTGAAGGCCGCATTCATGATAAAGGGCAACAACCTGCACCCCAAAATTGAGGATGCATTATCCAAGTATCCAAAGCTGCGTGGAGGTTATAGGCGACCTCCACCTGAGACAGATCTTCTCTTCCGCAGCGAAGTGGTGTTTGACCCTGACAATCTGCACACCGTGGCGCCAGGATTATTAGTCCCCAGACCTCCTCGCACAGATGACGAGGATGACCCCGAGGTCTTCTATGGACTCATCGCGTCTGGCAATCAACTCATGAAGAACGCTCAAGTACGGGATAGACTTTCGAAGGATATGGGTGTCCTCTGCTTTGAAATGGAAGCAGCAGGGCTCATGAATCACTTCCCATGCCTGGTCATCAGAGGCATTTGTGATTATTCCGATTCGCATAAGAACAAACTGTGGCAAGGCTATGCAGCTATGTCCGCAGCCGCTTATGCGAGCACCTTGCTTTCCTACATACCATCAAGTTACTTGGATAACGAGAGGATAAGAGACAAGTTACGCACTGATCTCATTGAAGATAGACGTAAGTATTCGCTGGCACAAACGACGAAAGTGCATCTAACAAGACTAGTTCAGCTCATTACAGAGGATATATCTCGCTTAGAGCACAAGATAAACTATGATACCATAAACAGACTGGTCGTTTCAACCGGCGCAATGCATGATTCTGCCAAGAATCAACATGAAAATATTTGTCTGTCGGGTACCAGAGACAACTTGCTCAAGGACATAGTCCAATGGAGCGAGGACGCAAACGATCACCGCATTTACTGGCTGAGTGGTATGGCAGGAACCGGAAAATCAACAATATGTCGCACCATGACAGCCCTTTGGAGAGACCAAAGTGTCTTAGGAGCCAGCTTCTTCTTCGGAAGAGGAGAGGGCGATCGCAGCAATGCTTCTCTCTTCTTCAGTACCTTGGCTGTACAATTGTCCGAGATGCGACCAAGCCTTCAGCCGCACATCATCACCTCAATCAATGAGACTTATGGTATTTCGCACAAGGGAATTAGTGAGCAATTTCAGAAGCTCATTCTCAGGCCACTCCAGCAAACGTCCACTTTGCCCCGGAGCTCGACCCAAGTCATCGTTGTCGATGCTCTTGATGAGTGTGCAGATGAGAGAAGTGCCGAAATCATTGTCTCTCTGTTGTCCGAGATAGCCAGGGATGAGTCATTTGGATTGAAAGTTTTCATTACTAGTCGACCCGAAGTCTCAATGAGCTACGCCTTGGACCGCATCCAAGGTCACGTCCAAGAGGTTATCTTCCATCAAGTAACGAAACACGTTATCGAAGAGGACATTCGAACCTTCCTGTTTCATGAGCTGTCAATAATTCGGGACAGGTGGAATGGGAGACACCATAAGAACCCCTCCCAAAGGATTCCCCAGGGTTGGCCAGGAGAGGATACACTCGATACTCTCACCAAACACGCTACACCTCTGTTCAATTTCGCCGCGGCTGTCTGTCGTTTTGTCGACAACTACAGACTTGGAAGCCCACCGGAGCAACTAGAGTACGTGATGCGTACCATCAGCAGTGGAAACACGATTAGCAACATGGATGCTGCGTATCTTCCTATTCTCTCGAAGCTGAAAGGCAATGTGAATGCTTCGGACCGGGAGATTGATGGTCTGTTTCAAAGCTTTCACCGTATCATCGGCACAATCATTTTTCTCAAAGAGCCAATGTCAATCGAATCAATAGCTTATCTGACAGGAAGCGGGGTTGCTGAAATACACCGCATGGTGTGCCTTCTGAAACCCGTCCTCGACTTTTCCGAGGGGACCGAGTCGCCAGTCAAACTACTCCACTCCTCCTTTCGCACGTTTCTGCTGAGCCCGTCGGCAGGAGAGTTCATGGTTGACATCAGCGACAGGCAGGAGCAGATTGCAATCAGCTGTATCAACATACTCTCGACTGAACAATGCTTGAAGCATGGCATGCGTGGGCTGCAGCTTGAAAAGCATCCTTCCAAATTCGGCCGCCACGATGTTCAGAGGCATCTTTCTGGCCACGTAAAGTATGCCTGTCTTTACCTGGTAGATCACTTGGAACAATCAGGAGTAGCTCTCAAAAATGGCGATGCTTTCCATGTGTTTTTAGGGAACTATCTCAAACACTGGCTGGAAGCTTTGATCATTCTCGGAGAGGGTCCGAAGGCGATGAGCATTCCAGAGAGACTTTTGCGTCTGGTGGAGGTAAGAATGGCTCAGGTTCCCCGTAGTGTATTCGAACATAGCGCTGACGAGATAATCAGGGCTTCAAAGGAAAACTGCATGACCAGCTGGGAGATGCGAAATGCTTCATTGATCGCAACATTTCAGCTCTTGCAGAATATCTTTCGAAGCATTCAGCCGACGTCACCACCGTCGGGGTTCTTGCTGCAAATAGCGAGGTTGTTGTAACAAACTCACATCACGCCATCGAGTTGAATATCTGGTCCATAGCAAACGGCCAGTGCTTACAGAGTCTTAAGGATCAACAGCGCGGCGAAATGAAACTCTCACCAAACGGCAAGTACTTGTTCAATTCAGGTGATGGCGACGGCCACGTTTTATGGAACATCGAAACCGGGCGTCCGCACATCATAGAAGGGCATCATTCTAGTCTCGCTATATTCGAGACCTCGCCAGCAGCTACTTTCTCTACCGACTCCAGATTCATGGTTGTCTCATCACCAGCGGGCGTCACGGTGCGAGATCTTTGCTCTGGAAAAAATGTATGGCACGATATCACCGGCAAGACCCCGGTGGCGATATCTAATGATGGAACGACCATCATGTATTGCAAGCCGCTTGTGGAGCCAAAAGCAGAAACATTGGTGATGCGACACACCATTTCCGAGAAACGATGCGACATCTTGCATCGAACGAATGACACTGTTCACGCCTTGTTCATCTGCTCAAATCGATCATCCTCAGTCATAGAGACCCGGGTACCAAGCAGTGGCACGCGCAGCATCTTTCAGGCGGAGGTAGTTGACGACATCAGTGGAAATAGGTTCTCTCTCATCAGAACACGCGGACCGTCTTCTACGGCTTGGTCGCGAAATTCATCGTTGCTAGCACAGGGCTGCTGGTCGGAATTCGGCACGGACGAGCTGGTCAACGTTTGGTCAGTGGCGAGATGCCAGATGGTCTATAAGGTGCACCCTCCAAGCTTGGTGTCAAGCGGCCTTCTCGTCTTCTCCCACGACTTCATTCAGCTTTTTCACAAAGAGAGCCAAGGGCATAGACAAGATATCTCGCCTGCTCATTCAACATGTTAAGCCATCAAGCTGTAGCATGGTAAAGGGGTATTGAAGGTGTGGATTTTCTGCGACGGCAAGATGTGTGGCCTTTTCTGCGGTTGGCTACTTCTTCTTTCAAGTTTCATTAGACAAGAATGTTAGTTCGACTTCATAACCAAAGTTGACCAAGCAATTCGAATACAACACACTTTCAGAGTGCGCTATTCGTACATAGGAAAGGACAAGAGTCCGTATCATGACACTCAACTCTACCTGGCATCGAAAGCTTGAGCCAGGTAAGAAACGTCATTCCACGTTGTTGTCGAGTAAAAAGCCACACGTGTTCACTATAATAACCGAGATATTCACATAATGAGTAGAGTCTTATTAGTCGGGTAGTGCCAGTTGGCTATCCGGGCAGTGCTCATTGTTGCTCTAACTAGTGTGCACAACTCGATGACGAAGAGAGTAGTATAGAAGAAGATGGGCGAGGAGGATAAGAACGAATGACAACGATCGCAGCGACGACGAAAAAAAGACGACAACGACGACGAAACCAAGTACATAGGAGATACAGTCGCTTGGGCACAGAAAACATAAGTAGGGGGACTAGGAAGACGACACGCGTGTGGACTCTACCCAGCGACCAAAACCCATCGGTTTTTCGATATTTGGAAAACGGTTGCAAGCTTGAAAGTTGGCCGCTGACACGTAGGCTTCGTATTTAAATTCTTCCTCATCGGTCGATATTTGTTGTGCGTGCGCACACATGTCTTGTCTCAACAACTAGTACAAAAATTGGTATCATCGCAAATCACAACCAAAATGCAATCCCCTCTTTACTTCTTCTCCGCGCTTCCCGTAGTCTCAGAATCAACAGCCCCAGCCGGCACCTTTCCCTCCATAACCCCATCCTCGCCCGGCTGAAACTCCTCCTTCGCAACCGGCGGACCGTGGAAGTTCTTCCTCGCGTACGCAAAGTACCACACAACCGCAATGAACGCAAATCCAGCAAACACCACGCTAGCATAATTCATCGTCGACGCGTCCACGGGCAAGCTAACCGGCATGCAGAAGATGACCACCGCAAACACGATCCACACAATGCAGATGCAGTTGATCAGCGTGCCGAACTTGCCCAGCGGGTACGGCGAGTTCGCCACCGCCTTCCTGCGCTGGATCAAGTTCACCAGCACGGGAACTCCATAACTCGTTGACAGGCAGATCGTCGCCACGCCCGTGAACGAGTTGAACGCCGCCGAGGAACCGAAGTAGATGCACCCCAGCACGCAGTCGACCGCCGTGGAGAGGAACAGCGCCCACAGCGGCATGTCGAGCTTGTGGTTGACCTTGCTCCAGAGCTTGTAGCCCGGGATGGCGCCGTCGCGGGCGAAGGCGTAGGTGCAGCGGGACGCGGCGGTGAGGGCGCCGATGCCGGCGAACATGAGGATGCCCAGGATCAAAAAGAGCAGGCCGAAGCCGCCGGCGGCGGAGCCGGTGACGGTCTTGAAGAGCAGGCCGATGGGCTGGGAGTTGGCGACCTCGAGGAGCATGGTGACGTCGGGGAGGACGAAGAGGATGGGGATGAGGTAGATGACGCCGGTGACGCCGGCGGCGGCGACGGAGAGGACGATGGCGCGGGGGACTTCGCGTTCGGGGTTTTGGACTTCTTCGCACATGGAGGCGACCATGCCGTAGCCGGTGAGGGTGTATGCGGCTGTTTTACAATGTTAGCTTCATATTTTCTCATCGTTCCTATACAAATTGTGATGTACCTTGAAGCAGGCCGACGAAGAAGGACCACCCGGAGGGCCATCCACTAGCCGAAGCATCATAATGCGAAAACACAAACTCAGCAGAGCGCTTGCTGGGCGCCATGACCAGGATCGTGACCAGGATGATGAGCACGGAGGCGCCGGTCCAGTAGATGCAGACCTTGTTGATCAGATCCAGATACCGCGACCCGAACGCGTTCACGCTCGCGCACACGAGCATCACAGCCCAGAAGCACAGCACAGTCTGCCACTCGTTCGCGACAAAGTCCTCATTAAAAATGCTAATCGCACTCAGAATCAACTGCGCGCCGCTGAAGTTGATGCTCAGCGTGACGGTCCAGTTTCCCACGAGCGTCAGCCAGCCATCCACAAAGCTGACCATGGGCGCCCAGCCGGCGGGGGCGAGCATGGCGGACCAGTAGTAGACGCCGCCGGCGGTCGGGTAGACGGCGCAGATCTCGGCGAGGGAGGCGGCGATGCAGAGCGAGATGATGGAGACGAGGACCCAGCCCCAGAGGACGGTGACGGCCTGGCCGTTGGTGAGGGTGATGTACATGGTCGTGGAGAGGCCGAAGGGCACGGCCATGATGGCGAAGGAGAGGCCGAGGATGGAGAGCATGGAGAGGTTGCGCGGGAGCTCGGCCTTGTAGCCCAGGCGGGCGAGGGCCTGGTCTGCCGAGACGCGAGGGGGCGCCTCGCCCATTGAGACGGAGCGGATGGAATCCGACATGTTGGGTGCTGTTGTGGTGTGAGTTCGGTATCGAGGGGTGTGTCCCGGTGGACGATGTTGAGGTCGGAGGATGCGGTCGGTGTGTGTGTGTGTGTAATCCCGCTGTCGACCGGTTCGCGCAGGATCGGGAGGATTGGGCCGGGTTGACAGGTGCCGTGCGCAGGGGAGCAGCGCCGGTTTAAAAGGAGTGAACAAGAAGACCCGGCTGTATTAAAATACAAGTAAAGATACAAAAAAAGGATAAAACCGCACTCACGCGAGCTTCAATTGGGGAAAGGGAAGAAACGGGAAATGGGGGGGAAAAGAGGGTTAAGCGACTCTTTTAGTATGCCCGGCAGATTTGGAGAAAGAGACAGCAAGCCAGCATGGAAACCCAGCTATGCCGTGGTCTGCCCGTCGATCCAGTCGAGTCACACACACACAACGCCGTCAGCAACTACACCAAGGACACAATTCAATGACACAGAAACGGAGGAGATCCATCTTTGGGGCCTGGGCTACGGCGGCGCCCCAATGCAACGGGATCGGGGGGGTGCGTGAGGGGGGACCCAGTTCCAACACGCTAGCCTCTCCCCCACGCCCCGCAGACCGAGAGCAGACAGACGAGCAGATAGATAGAGACACGTTGAATTGGCCGAGATGGGCTTGATGGCCTGTTCGCTGGTGCGGCTGGCTGCGTGGAAGAGTGTTAGTCCGTAGACAAGAGACGACGCTGTATCTACGGGGCGATGTTAACATGGACTTGCAACCGCGGGTACACGACTATCTTCAAGAATTGTGTGAAGCTGGGCTGGGTTCAGGCGCTTGTCAAGGCAATCATTCATAACAAGCGATATCTCGGGCCCAGGGGGGTCATGTTCGATTGTGGACTGAGAGAAATGGATCTATGGGGTTAGGTGGTTCGTGCGTATCAGCAGTGTCCGCCCGGGGCTTTTCGGTTGGGTGGATGTTGTCTGTCTCTGTCTCTCTGTCTGTCTGTTTCTGGGTGTGTTGCGGCCACTGACTGAATCATGAGCATGTCACTTGAGATAGATATCAAACAGCCCGCGGATTGGCGTACACGTCCCTCCCTCTCCGACAGAATAGCCGCGAGAGCTGGGACGCTGTAAGCTGATAACAGACCTAACACACTCGCACGTAGACAGTTCTCCGGGCGCTCCCAACCGCGGTCCGCAGGATCGGTAGCAGGGAGGACACAGCAGCGAAAGGCTTGTTTTACAGCCCGTGATGTCATGCGGCCTGCCTATCCCCCCTTCCCCCTCTCTCTCCGCAGACACACGCGACGAGCTGCGCTGTAACGAGCCCAGCAGCTGCAACGACGATCAGCCCTTTCGGCCTAGGGCGACATGTCAGTTACATCTATAGCGCGGTCTGGTGAGGGGGGAAGGGAAAGCTTGGAGGTGACGAGCCAGCGGTTCGCACCCCCGGAGAAAGACCCTGGCTAGAGTATTCCCAGGAGAAATGAAGCGACACTGACAGGAGCACCTTATCGCTGTCGAATCCTAACGCCTCACGGTTCCTCAGGGTGTGGCTCGGTGAGCCCGGGCCTAAGCCCGTACAAGCCATGCCGTCCGCCTTCACGGCAGTGATACCTAAAAGGAACGTCTGGTCTGCCATCTTGTTGGGATTGGGTCGATTGGAGCTGGCCGACGAACTCTGTCCTTACTCATCACCAGCAACATCGAAATATCACCACCTGTTGAACCTCTCAAACAGACAGGACAGACAACATCCCCATCTGCCAAGAACCATCTCCATAAGCCTCACAATCCAGCTACGCCAGTCCCTCAAACCCCACAAACCCCAACTCCCAGAAATAAACTTCACCTCATGCCGGCAACGTCGTGCTTCGTTCCCCCATCGCCTGTCTTTCTCCAACAAGTCCTTCTCAACCACTCACATCACACCCGGACCGCGCTCCCCCAAAGCCAAACTACGTACCCTTACCTCAAAAAGCAACCGCGCTCCCGCTCCACCTCCAAAGATAACGGCGCTTCGCCAGCTTGCTGCTTCCACAACCCACGAAACCACCATCATCCATACTCACTCACACACGCGCGCTTCCCCTAATCCCCAGCGTGCCGGGCATCCTATCTCGGAAAACATCAGATCGCCAAACACCCGGATCATCAAATACACAATCGCGACAACGAGATTCCCCGAAACGAAGTGTGTGCGTGCTATCCTCATGAGTCGAGACACACCAAGACTCTCCCGTAACGGGCATCTTCCGTAAGCACATACAAAACAGACTGATAAGAGACACAAACACAAGGCAAGTCAATCAGGGTCCCCGGGAGATTCCTTATCAGCCAGCGAGAAACCGCATCAAGGTACCGATACCGTTCGGCCCGATACCACGACCACCATCCAATACGCCGTCTCATCCTGCCAGCCTATCCTACCATACCATCCATCCATCCAATGTCTCCCATCACCTCATCTCATCCCTTTCCCATCATCCTCAATTCTCTCCCTCAAACCATTGAGTTGATTCCCTTCACGATATCTCAGCTTTGAACCCCAAAAGTCATCCATCTGCGTCACCGCTAAAGATAACGCACCCCTGGCACCTCCGCCCCATTATGCCGATCAAAAGCCGAGGTTCCCCATCTCTCGCCAATTTCCACACAAGCGACGCGTCCTTCGGCCACTGCCGATGACACAAGCCGTGCGGCCACACGACCACCTGGCCGCACAGAATCAGCGCCTCATACACGTACTATGTAAACTCTTCCAGAAGCCTTCTAGAATGCATCCTTCGTGTGAGAGAGCTTATATCAGCCTCACTTCATTTATACCTCCCTTTTTCATCATCGATCACTACTCTCTTTTACAATATTTATCATGCAGTAGCGGTCAGCGTCGTTCTCAGGGGCCTCAATTGGTCCATCACATGCATGCCACCGCCATCGTCGCCGGGGCCACCCGACAAGTCCAGAACAGAGTGGGCTCTGTTTCCCGAATGCCGACTGTGAATCGTGTCTGCTCCATTTTGACTACTTACTAGGTGCTACCTGCCAGCACCGCCTGTCTTTTGATAAAAGTCTCACCGCGCCAAATCCCCCTTCGAGACTTGTCCCGTGCCTGTTGAAAATCGCATGCTCCCGTTTGAGCCCCTCTCTATGTCCTGTCCGGGACTAATCATACCCTGCGTCAACCTCCAAAACGCCTTGCAAAAACCCGCCAAATGACAAACCCTCCGTGTCTCCAACACGCCTATCGTCTACTGCGTCACGTCACTTTCCAAGGACCTGCTTTTCCGTATCGTCATCAACTAGTTTCCTCTGCTTGAGGATCTTCACCAGCTCCGTCATGGTCACTGGCCGCGTGAGGAAGAGATCCATGCCGCTAGCAAAGCCCTCCTGTCGCGCGCTGGCCGACCCCAAGCTGGTAATGGCGATGACCACCGCAGGCGGAAGGTGATGGGCTCTTTCAAACTTTCGAATCCGCCTCGTAGCCTCAAGTCCGTCCATGACGGGCATTGTAATGTCTGAGAAACTGTCAGCGACTCCTCCCCCGTGCCTATGCATGATGTCGACATACCTATGAGAATGCAACAGAATCTGTTGGGCTGCGCGGTGTAGGCTTGCAAAGCTTCCAGCCCGTTTGTCGCTGTAGTATGTTTCTTGTTCAGTTTCTTCATGTATGCTGATAGAATCTGCGACTGTTAGCATGGTGCAATTCGTTTTCTTTCAATGGACGCACGAACTTTAAGATTGATTGGATTGTCGTCCACCAGAAGGAACTCTTGTTGTTGATTTATGGTCTTGGCCATTGATGAAGACGCAAGCACAGGAGGTGTAGCAGTGCCAGGCGTTGATGCTGGGGATGCGGTCGATGCGACGCCAGCGGCCTTCGCGGCGGGGCGGAAGGGAAGTTTCAGTGTGAAATCCGGATCAGGCTGGGCGATCCAGTTATCGAGCGGTGATTGCGTGATGATTTCGTCTGGGGTCGTGGCCATCCTAACACTCTTGATGCTCTCAGATTGAGCCCTCTTACGCCCTGGGGACAGTTCCGCCCTCAACGCGCTGTTGGGCGTGAGAGGCCCGGACATGGCATCCGGCCCCGCAGCCACAAGCTTTACAGCCTGTCGCTGCTGCCATCGATCAAGAGCACAAGCAAGGGCCTTCGCGACTTTTCGTGGTCCGGTGCTGATTACATGTTAGTCATGCACATATTCTGCCGTCCACATTACTCACGGTTGTGCGATAAACTCCATCACTGTCTGTTGACGAGACCGCCTGTAGGAGGTCGCCAGCTTTTGAGCTGACTCGGCATTGGCGCAAACGACTACCAGTGGTGGTTCATTGCCCCTGCTGTGAGACGCGTCAAGCTTCCGGAATGCTTCTTCACTACAAAGTGTGAGGTCCGCCGGAGAAGAGGCAGCTCCTGTACTTTCGTCCGTGATGCTCACATCCAGCCACTTGAGCGGAAGACTCTCGACCGGGAGATCATGGCCCCCGGCACGAAGCTCTTCTGAGCTATCAAGACCCCGACTAAACCCGCGGACAGAGAGTCTCCTGCCGGCTAGGGAGCTCAAGTCCGCTGAGAATTTACGTCCGCGGCTAGACGCCTTGCGTGAAAGCACGAGTGGCATTGACACGGTCATGCTAGTTCCATGGCCAAGCTGACTCTTGACGCTGATCGTGCCGCCGAGTGTTGCAACAATTTGCCTTACCAGACTCAATCCAAGACCCGTGCCCGGAGCCAAGGCATCCTCTTGAGAGAAGGGGGTAAAGAGCTTGTTGCGTAGGAAATCCTCGCTAATGCCCTTGCCGGAGTCTGTTACGGTAAGAACAACCATGGATGCTGACCTCGCCGACTTATGAACCACTTCTTCCTGTCTGAGTTGGACCTTGATGAAGCCGCTCGATGTGTATTTAAGAGCGTTGCCGAACAGGTTCATGATAATCCGTCTAAGTGCGCCGGGCTGGGAATGGAAGACCCACGAAAAGTTCGGATCAATGTCGACGAGAATCTTGACGTCCTTCAAGTTGGCAGGCTGAGTCTCCGAAGGCTTTCTTTTGTGGCCGAGGCCCTCGCTGGAAGCAATGGCGTCCAACTTCTCTTGAGCAGGTGTAGGCGGCCCGGAAGCTGTGCCATGGCGTGCCAGCTGAGAAGCAACCATATGCTGGAAGCTGTGGCCGATGAAAACACTCTCGATGACCTCTTCGACAAGCAAGTCAAGGTGTACGTCGGAGACCAATGTCATCATGCCTGACTCGATGGAAGCTGATGCCTCCGGGCGCAACCCGCGTCCCGGTCCGTTGTTACGTCTCTGAGACCTAGAAGCTCGCAGGTAGGTGTTGACTTTGCTGTAATCAAGCAGCTGCATCATATTAGCAAGCGGCATGCCGAGAGGGCCATTCATGTAAGACTTACGTGATCAATTGTATCGAGCAGGGTTTTGCCCGAGATTTCAATGGTGTGGATGACGTCCACTTGGAATGCGTCAAGCTGAGTATCGTGAAGCAGCTCCGCCGCAGCAACGACACCGTGAAGCGGCGATCTGAGCTCATGGCTGAGTGACCCAAGGATGTCTGTCTTTGCCTTCTCCGCAATGATGGCGTCTAGACGAATAATCTCTGCCATTGTAACCATGCCAAATGCACGTAAGTACGGCAAGTCGGCATCCGCGGTGAGAATGCGAGACGCGCTTTTGCTCCACACAAACCCTCCAGCGTAGCAGCGCTCTTTCGAAGGATCCCATAACGGTACCACTGCTACGCTTCTCGCCCCAGGAAACATGTCTACAATCGTTTTCGCCTCGTTTCGTCGTGTAAAGTACGAGTGCGCCGCTCGGGTCTCGGGTCGGGTCAACTGCTCGTTATCCTCTGTCGGAGTAAGGTCCGTGTCGTCACCTTCAGAGTCAACGTGGTTCCATTGTCCCATTTCATCGAAACTGAAGACCTTGCCGTTGGGGTATCTTCGCAGCAACTTCTTAAGGAACCGTTCTCGCAATGTCTTCCGGCCGAACTGAGGGATTTCGCCGCTATTCATGACGCTTTCCACCGTGGACGATCTGCCGAAACACTTGCACCATCTGTCATTGGCATCCTCAGATCTCTCGGACATGCTGTCGTCACTACTGGAAAAGCGATTATCCGCGACTTCGCTCGCCCTACGAGGACCGCTAACGAGACCGCCGAATGACACAATGCTGGCGTCGAGGAAAAGTGCACCATCTACTTCCAAAGACTTGCGAATGACGTTGGCGGCCCGTGAGAAGATCTTGATAGTTTCCGTCAAACGAGGGTCTGGGGGCGCAGAGCTTGATGTTGTTGTAGCTATGGTCGCGGTCGATGCGGTGGTCTCGACGGAATCACTCGAGTCGATTTTGGACGGGGAGGCGGCAGGATCTCGACTGATTGGGTTGATATTCGGTCGAATGGCTTCGATGGGTCCAGATTTCGGCGACGGTGGCTCCTCCGGCGGCGACGTCGCCGGGGTGTCAAACCCATTCGATGAAGATCTCGGCGACGGGGGTTTAGTGGTTGGCGGGGTCTCATCTTTGCCTCCAATGAAATCGCCCAGGCCATAGACCATGCGTTCGCTGCGACGATAGCTCTCGTTCACCCTCCTCGACTCCAAATAATCCATCACCGTCTGGGAAATCTCTCTCATGAATTGCACCGAGTCGGCATCGAGCCCAGCCCTTGGGCGGTCATCGAAAATGCAGTAGACGCCAATGTTGATGCCTTTTGGGGAGCGAATCGGAACACCTGCGTAGAAGCGGTTATACGGAGCCGCGTCGATGTATGGGCGGTTACAGAAGCGCCGGTCAGCGCCAAGGTCTGGGACTACGGCCACAGGAAGTTCGTCGTCACTGGCCACGGGGCCGCCGGCCTGCACCTCCTCACGAGTTGCTCCGACGAGAACATGTTCGCAAATTCCAAAAGCGCGTGGAATGGCAGTCCCGCAAAGCCAGAGGTGGTTTACTGAGGGGTATTTTGCGTTCGGGGTCAAAGGCACAGATCTGGTGGCCTCGGCGACAATGTATTGGTGCTGGCGGTCGAAGAGGGAGATGAGGGCGCGGGAGGCGTTCAGTCGCAGGGCTCCCAGCTGCGCAAAGGCAGTGAGGCCTGTGTCGGGCGACGACGAGAGAGCCGAGAACGGGATCGGGCGGTCGGGGCTGTTGAAGACGGCACTGGGAATGTGGAAAGAATCATATCTAGAGACGCATCGACTGTCAGTAAATCGGTTCTTGGTCCAGAGCTACACCTCGTCGAACAAGCTGACAGCAAGTGGTTGCGTACTTGAATGTCTCCCACTCACGGGCGCCTTCAGATATCTTGTTCATGCTTCATTCAGGGTCGTAGTAGGTTTGCGATGAAGCTCGTCTTGCCCATGGTCTGACGATGGGATCTGGGAAGCGGCAGGAACAACAATGGAGAGGTTTTGTTCTCAGTGTTGTCGTCACAGTTTGTCCAAGGCCAGGCCAAGGAGGAGGAGCAACGACAGCAGCACGCAGGCAAGCATCTGAGGTGAGGCGGAGGGCATGACTGAAATGCCGCTCCTCCCCGCTGTAGTGGAACAAGGATCCCGGAAGCCGGGATGGGCGCTGTTCGAGACGGTTGGGGGGGGGCAGGACCTGGTCGGGCACAGTCCAGTGGCCAATGTGCTTAGCAAAGTGCGAGTGAGAGTGCAGCACCCGCAAAACACTGAGCAGCAACAAAAGGCAGGCAAGACATGGAGGTGGTCTTGGTCTTGCAGCTCGCCTAAGGTGCGTTAGTGCGGCCATGGTTGCAGGGCAGCAGGCGGGCAGAGGGCAGATGGATCATGGAACGGCATGGGCCAAGCCAGCGGCTATCCTTGCCCTGGATGGGAAACCGGTTCTTCGGGCAGGATGGCATCCACCGTCGTCGGTCCATGGACCATATCGACTTTGCCCGTGGTATGGGCCGGCCGTCCAAGGTACCTGCCTAGGTATCCAACCATCAGAACTGCCCCTCCTTTTTTCCCATGAGCCCATCCACCGTCGAGGCGCTGCGGTGCGCGGGAGGAGGACGGCGTGCGTGACCTGGGTGTGTGTTGGTTTGGGCGATTGAGCCTGTCGTTTGCCTTCGTTTTGCGTGTCCCGGGGTGTCCCTCGGAGATTCTGAGATGCGCTAGGCTTTAGTGGCCGTCGAAGAAAGTGTGCGGCTTGTCTCTTTGCAGCCCAAGCCTGATGTTTTGGCGACAGATGAGCCGGACTCCGCAGGGCAGGCCAAAAGAAAAGGTGAGCAGAGTTCAGATGCCCAACCGCTGCAACCTCTGGCGGCACGCCGCAAGTGTGGCCACTAAGGACTGTTTGAGTGTGTGTTCCGATCAGGCGGCGTTCTGCATAGTGTACTGCGTAGAGGCTGGACGAAGCCGATGGTTTCTTGGGACCAAGGTTTAGGGGTCTGGAGGCGCTCTAGCGCAGCCACACGTGTTCTGGAAGGCAGAGATTTGTAGCGTGTTTCGCGGCCTGAAGACGACAAACGAACAGAGGCAGAAGCTAAAACAGTCGAGTTGGATGGTGGTGGGATGGCACAGATGGTTCTTTGGGGGGTTGTCTGTGATGGTGGTGTGGCGGCTGGAGGAGGCAGACACAGACGCAGACACGCAGACCCCGGCCAATCAACCTTTTGCAAAGTGTGATTTGTGACTTGGGCAGCGAGATCCGAGGCCGATTTCGATGGCGAGAAGAAGTGATCAGCGAACTCAGGTAACGTAGGGCAAAGCTTCGTGGGTTCTGAAGAGCGGCCAGACTCTTTTGCTGTGGGCGGTGGGCCATGGGTGATGGGCCTTTGGTATGGGGATCATGGATCTGCCTCTGGCTCGGTGTAACAGTATCCGCAGGCAGCGCGAGGGTTGGATGGCATTGTGGTGTGAGTTGAGATATCTGTACACTGAGTGCCGGTGTCGTGTGGGCATCATGAGCGAAGGATGTCTGCCGCAGTGCCAATCCGATGGTCACCGGCCGCCCATCACTGGTTGAACGGTCACCGCCTTGCCATTGTCGGCAATGTCATCCTCCACCTGACGACCTAGGTGATCATGATGAACCCATTGTTTTCCTTGGAGCGACGACCTTCGTTGATGATGATTGATGAAAGTCTGACGATGCATCGATGGCAGACTCGCGGCTGAAGGCAGCGCAACGGCCAACCAGAAGGGTGCGACGGTGACGGGACTGGCTCCGGGATCCCTGAATTCGACCCCCACCATCTGTACGCCCTGGTGGTTAGCCCTTGGTTGGTGTGCCCCTGGTCAGCCCCCAACGTAGCGCCCCTTGTTCGTGTTGATGGACGGCCGGTGGAAAGGAGAGAAAAGGCTGGCATCGATGCAAATCGGAGATGCCGGGAATGCAGCTGATCGATGAGCCTAGGAATGGAAGATTTCGAGGAATGCCGTGATGGGCAGGAGGGAATGGAATTGCTGCTCAGTCAATGTTGCAACCGCCAGGCAGGCGCCATTCTTCGCTCTTTCCTGAGCCCCATCAGCTGTTGGCAGGGCGGGCAAGCGCAACCATCAAACAGGCAGGATCCCTCTGGAGTGCACCTTCCGCGGCGCAATGACTGCGGCAAGAGCAACACCAGCAAGAGCAAGAGCAACTGCATCTCTCAACACGGCAACCACAGAAAGAGCAGTCACAGGCACTCCGTACTTGCTACAATAGCAACAGCAGCAACAGCAACAGCGTCTCTCAACAATAGCAGGTGCACTGCAAATGCAGCACTCCCTCCACAGTGCGGCCGCCAAAGTCAATGTCCAAGGGAAGGATCAGCCCCTCAAAACTGGCTATTGGAAACTTGGAATCTGATAAATTGCAGCAGCGGGAAGCTGGGAAGCAGCAGGGCAATTGACTCGTTGCGACCCGCTCTTTCCCTCTTCTCGACATGGTGGAGCCGCTCTTCCCTGTGAACTCTGACAGGCCCCGCAAATATGCTGTAATCCCGTACCGTGACTCTACAGTGTCCGCACATGGCTGCTCACGTGCGGCCAATAGAGATCCGGCAAAGACTACTGAAGGGAAGGACCGCCAGGTACGTACCCGTTTCGGGACAGGTTGCTTCCTGCTGCAGGTCCAATGTCCCCATTATTACCGGTACGTACCCCATGCGCCTTCCAAGTTCCGATTGCAGCTCTGACACGCACTTCATTTCGACCGCAACCTCATGATCCTCCATCACCACTTCTTACCACTGACCAACTCCTGACGGCGGCATTATGTCCTCTGCTATTGCATGAGCCACGCGCCCGTTCGTCTCCCTCATCGCCAACACGCAGCTCGACATCTTGGACCCCTTTTCTTCAGCGGCCTCCTCCCGTCCCGTCGCCGTCGCCGTTGGGTTATCGTCCAGTCTCTATTCATCCATCCACCCACTCAATGCGAGACTTGGACAAGAGGGGTCCTAGGGGTCCAAAGCGCGCATTCGTTTCTGGTCCATTTCTCCGTGGATGGTAACACTTTCATCTCTTCACAACCAAGAGTTTATGAATAGCAGCAATTCATCATCAGTCGAGTCACTTTCACCCATTCTTTTCGGTGCCACATTCATGCAACACCCAAAAAATGAGACGAAAATACGTCGCGCCCACCTTCAGCCCAAACCATCGTCATCTCATCTCATCTTTTCCCTCGCCAACCCGCTCCCTGGATGTTCACTTGTTCTCTTGCCAACGCCTTTGTTGCTGTGCTTCACATCGTCACCGTCAGCAGACCAGCAGACCGTTGCAGCCTGTTTGGGGGCCCTACTCGGAGCAATGAGCATCGCCTGAGAACCCTTCCTGGACCCTGATTCAGCCCCTTGCCCGTCCCTCATCCCTGCGGCGAGCATCCCGACGAATGCCACCGTACCTCGCCCTGGACGACCACCCCCGGCCTCCTCACTACGTAAGACCCCGAAGACCCCGATCGCCCCCCCGGGGCGGCCATGCCACCCGCATCGAGCCTTGAATGCGACATCGACTCGACGGCTCGCCCGGGGTTCAACCTACGACCGCTGATCACGACCACACTGCGCATAGTAAATCCGAAGCCGTTTCTTTGTCGCTAGAACCTTCTAGCAGACGGTAACCACGATGCTTGGCATTGTTGCTGCGTGATTGCTCTCACATGCGCAAAGAATGAGGACCCAGGTTTCAAGATCAGGCTAATGCGTCTGGAAATCAGGTTCGGAAATCAGGCTTCGGAAATCTCACGTCACGACGTAATTACGACTCAGACACCGTCCATCTGCATGACAGCGAATTTCTGTTCTCAAGCACTTGTGCAGAGCAAGCCCTGATGAGCCTCATCGAAATTGAATGCCGCAACATGCCGAGGCATCCAGTATTATTCCGGATAACACAACTGGGTGTGTGCAACCAGCTGCTTGTCTGAATCCCATCTATCCTACGCACCATCAACAAGCTTCATCCCCCCAATGACGCCCTCGAACCCGCCCCCTCCAACCGTCGCCAGGGGAGCTTCCACCGCAATCGGCTGCCACACAAACCTCGCCCCGTTCCATCCCATGATCGTCAAGAACTCCATCCTATCCCCTCCAACGTCCAAAAATGTCTGCCTCCCCTGCCCAACGAGCTTTGCCTCCGTCCACTCCCCCACGGGGAACGTGTAGTTCAGCGCATACGTGCTCTCCCCCGAGAACAACATGACCGCATCCACCGTCCCGTTGCCGAACCACAGCCCGCTGTCCCCACCGCTGAAGATGGCGCCCTTGGCCGCGCTGGTGGGCTTGATCGAGAACGAGAGCGTGTAGTTCCGTCCCTTCTGCGTGAGCGGAGTCGTGATGCTGCACGACGGCGTCAAGACAGCGCCCTCGTCACCCAGCTCGCACGAAGATTCCGCGTGGTAACCGTTGCCCGATAGATCCTCCACCGCGCTGCCGTTCCTCTGAGTGAAGTCATATTCCACAATCGTCTCTCCCACACTCGGAATCCTCCGATCAAGATTCTGCCCCGGCGCAGCAGGCTGCAACTTCGCAAACAACCCCCCATACGCTTCCTCCGCCACCTCCCCTCCCCACTGCTTGTCCGCCAGCCCCGGCAGCCCGTCCCTCCACTGGTAATACGCCTCCGTCACCGTCGTCGCGTTCGGCCCGAAGTCGTTCCACTGCGGCGCCACATGCCCCAGCAGCGCCGCGCTGTCCCGGGCCGCGTTATTCGTCGCGTTCTCCCGGTCAAACACGTTCGGGGCGAACGCGCTCCCGTCGGGCGACCCGTGGAAGATGAAATCCAGGCTCAGCTCGTGGCCGTACCACTCGGACCACTTGCCGACGGTGTAGATGTAGTCGCCCGAGTTGAGCACCGCGTAGCCGTTGTTCACAAAATCCCAGAGCGGGTTGGCTTCGAAGTTGGCCCAGTGCTGGATCGAGACGGACTTGTTCACGTCGCCGCCTGAGGCGGGGGAGAATGTGCCCCAGATGCGCACCTTTTTGCCGGATGTGGTTGTGATGTAGTCGTTCATCGAGTCCACGAAGCGGGTGTACTCGCCCACCAGCGCCCTGCCCCTCTATCAGTGCCATGCTCAAACACAGGTTCACGGGTTGACTTACTCCTCGCTCAAAGTCGGGTCAACGTACTCATCCGCCCCGATACTCACCGTCTTCGTGTGAAACCACGGCAAAAACACGCCCCAAATATCCTGCATGACCGGAATCGTCTCGGGGTTCGACACATTCAACAGACTCAAATCACTACTCAGCCCCAGACTCTCCCGCCACTGCGAGATCACCAGCGCGTGCCCCGGGGCCTCGATCTCGGGCAGGATCGTGACGCCCCGCGCGGCGCATTTTGCCTGGATATCATCGAAGACGTCACGCGTGTAGGACTCGTTGGCGCGCTTGTTGAGTCCCGCGAGGGCGGGGTCATCGGAGAGCAGGCGGAAGGCGGCGTAGAGGGAGAGCTGGCGCTCGCGGGAGTAGATGGCGACGTTGTTGTAGAGGTTGTCCGAGAGGTGGAGCTGGAAGGTGTTTTGTTTGAAGAAGGACATGTAGGCGCACATTTCGATTAGGAAGGAGGGGGGGTAGTAGTGCCGGGCGATGTCGAGCTAAGGTGGTGTTAGTATTTTGGGTTGAGGGTTTGGTGTTGGGTGATGGAGAGGATGAGGAGCAGGGCCACTCGAGATGTTGAAAGTAGTGATAATCACAATGATCAGATGAGTTGAAGAGATACAGGAGATGACAAGGATAATAGAAATAGGAACAGTAGAGAGAGATAGAGACGACTGAGACGACATAGACGACAGAGACAATCGACGTTACAAGAATAGTAAAGAGCATGAAGTCTCGGTAGACAGGAGATGATCTCGACATCCGCAAGTGCCCGCCATAGTAAGAAAACTCATCGGCGCCATAAACGCCGCAAAAAGCCGGAAAACTCACCATCATTCCGCGCGTCCCCCATCCCGGGCTATCAACCCCGTACCCTAGCTCCACCGCCCCGTCTCCGAGGACCATCTGCTGCAGCACCGACCGGGTGCCCCACCACGCCCCGAGCGGGCTCGCGCCGGCGATGCGGACGCCGTCGATGGTCACGTTCAGCGCGTAGCCCTCCGATGTCTCCCTGCCCGCCGCATCTTTGAACTTGGACGCGTCTTCGTCGAGGGTGAGGAAGATGGAGCCTTGCTCTGCTGCGGACCCGGTCGTGACGGGGATGGAGAGGTTGAGCACGGAGGCGAGGTCCTCGGAGAAGGTTTCGGCAAAGGAGCGTAGGGTCGGCGGGATGAGCGTCTCGCCTTTGTCGTCGACTGAATTCGCAAATTGCTCGTGCACAATGATCTTCTTGAAGAAGTCGGAGGGCAGGGTGCCGCCAGTGGTGGTGTACGGCACGGTCGGGAGGCCGGGGAGCGCGTCCGCTGCGGCGCGGAGGCCGAGCGTCAGCGCCGAAGCAAGAGCTGTCGTGAACCGCATCGTCACGACTAAAGTATGCAATTCGCCAATGGCAATGTCTCAGTGACCACACCTTTCAGATATTGTCTACAGCTAGCTATGCTATATAACCACGACTTTATCAAATCTCGATCACCAACTGACATCACACGATGGCTCCCCGGCGCGCGGGGTAACCCCCGAATGAGGGGCGAGCCGAAATGAGGAGCTGTGCGATTGTAGAAGGTGACAGCCGCGGATCAACAGGCCGGTTTTTACCCCTCAGGAACACCCATCGGTATCGTATCATTGAGCTGTAGTTAGCGTGCCTTGCAGTTGTACTGTTCTGTGCAATCGTGATAGCAACGTTGCAATTTGCGTGGCATATCCGATTATCAGTGGCCTTGCTCTTTTCGCCGTGGTGTTCGCGCCGGCTGGGTGGGGTCTGCCGAGCTGCTACTGCGGAGCTTGAGAGGGGAGAAGATTGCCGGGGTTTGAGGGACGATAAAGCTGGGGTAATTGGGATCTTTGGAACGTTGTAGATGCTGGTTGAATGAATGGGTGCTTTGATATGTTATGTTACGCTGGATATTGGTGTTTGTCATCCTGGCCAGATAGATGAACCAGGTGCAAATGCTCATGACGTTGATGCACGATTGTTGACCCCGAACGACAAAAACGGTCCCGATGCGGTGGTTTATTCTACAATCCCGCTCATGGAATAATATCATCTGGCAAGATTACCGCTGCAGGTACCAAGATGCACTCCAACTAGACAATTGGCTTCCATGGTTAATTGCATAAGCCTGTCTCTTGGCCAAGTAAAACCTGAAAACGAAAAGAAAAGAAAAGACAAACCGAGCAGATCATAACTCGGAGATCTATGGTTCCGCTCGTAAAGAAAGTCAAATGAAGACGGCCACTGGTTAATCCATCCCGCTCTATCCGTCTGCTCAATCAAGGCGTCCACTAAGATGCGGCTTCATGTCTCAAGTAGTGAGGAGATCAGCCAGCCACACCTCCTCAACATCACCTCGCTGAACTCTCCTTGATGAGTCTTTGAATGGGAGAGATCAAGCATACTTCCAAAGCCATTAATTTCTACGAAGTGCTCTTGGTGACAACTCGCTCTCCGCTATTTAGGTTCTCAAACCCTTTCGATATTTCGACTGAGCTCGATATGTCCCCGCAACAGTTCGAAAGCCAGGCTCAAGCAGCTCGTGAGCTATAATCCCAAATCACCACCGCTGTTAGCCGGCTCAGTTACCCCGGTGGACTTGGCGTCGGTAGTGCTGAGATCGCCAAAGGCATCAATAAGAGCGTCGACGCCAGTGCCTTCGACAAGCACAACCAGTCGGGCATCGTCGAGGTTCACGCTCACTTCGTCGCCACCAAAAGCGACGGGGCGAAGGCGTTCGAGCTGGAGGTCATCTGGGGTATTGCATCCTTCTTATTTTGATACTCCCCTCGTGATGAAAAAGTACAGTCAACTAACGCGTGGCCGATGGGGTCAGATGCTGATAATCCGCCGGTGGGCAAGACTCAAACGGCGCACTTCGGCTGGGAGATATACCTCGACGGAAAGAGAGTTGCTGGACCGGGACATGTCTTTTTCGCCCCAGACGTCATCTTGACGAACTATCGGAACAACAAAAGAGACCAAGCGGAGGAGCTGTCCCTCAAATTGAGCACCAACGACGGCATCGGGACAGGCAAGATGCAGAGCACCACTAAGTACTATCGGCTTCAATGAGCAGAAATGTACCGTACACTCTAGGCTCTGCTATGGCGATCATCTATTCTATTGTTACTTCGAGATAATGAGAAATAATCAAAACATCTGGCACCAATACAATTTCAGCAGATCATTCTCTATTCCAATCATTAGCAATATTTACGTCGTGGGTTCTTCGTCAAATTTGCCCCGTTCGTAGTACATACATACGTTGTATCGGCCTTTTGGAACCTTTCGTTCGGAACACAACCTGCGCTACGCGCGGCAACATGATCCAAAGCACATATCGGGATCTGCCAAGCATTCAAGCATTAGACCGGGACATTTGAGTATATTTCGAAGAACTGGACTTCTCACTCTTGCTGTCTGCTTGCACAGGTGACACAGACTCTACAACAGTAAAGGTGGCTGTGGTCGGCCAGAAGATAACGACCTTTTGATTGACGTTCCTATTATGCCTCCACTCTCAGTACACGCCACGAAATATGTATGCTTGAGAAAATTGTTTCGAGCAATCTAGACAAAGACTTACCCTACTGGTGCAGGCGCGGGTTTGAATGTGTCTGCAACGCGCTTGATCCAACGTAGCCACTGCCCCTGTGATTGTGGTGTCTCCTTCCCCTCTTCGTTTGAAATCTGGGCGATATCTTCATTGAATGATGAGATGGCTTGTCGATACGAAGGAGGGCTGGGCTGGGTAACAACACACTCTTGCATCCTCGGGCGATATGGCGGGCAAGGTGTTCCAGTATCGTGTCGTCCAAAGCTGTCTTCGTTCATATCGATAAACTGATCCATTTCAAGCGGTAATCGAGGTCTTCAGCTCTTGGTATCAAGGAAATTTTACTTCGAGGGATCATGCGTAGTCGGGGAGTCTGTTTAAGTAGCAGGCTTACACACAAGGCATGACTTGTGTCGGCCAAATGACATCGCCGAAGGCATAGTTTCGCCGAATTATTGTAGCAAGCACCACCTCCCCGGCCCGAATGCCCATCTCAAGTTCACAGTTCATGTTCGTCTGAGGCAATCTTAATGGTTATTACCTATTCTCACTTCTTTGCGGCGCCAGTCTTATCATTACTTTACAAAATGGCTTGTACGTGAGAAGGTATACAAAACATGTCTGCAATCCCTGTTTGATAGACCTGGCCCATCTCTTTCGCAGTTAAGAGGAACAGTGGAGAGACCTTGGCATGATCTTTGACAAGCTGACGCCATATCTCAAGTAGTTCTCTGACTCGCACGCTACTTTCAGCATTGGGGGCCTGAACTAGCAACAACAAGAGGAAATTGGAGGCCACTACCAAACCGAATCTGGACCCTATGCTAGATGTTAATTCGGAACAAGCACTTCTTGAGTCAAATCGTCGGAACTCACATGAATACCAGAATTGGCCAAACTCGCTGGAGGTCAGACAGACTGTAAACTTGACCAGTGTTTCTGCCCAAGTCTGTGCCGCTTGATATAGCTCCTTGATTGTTGCACTCGAGTCCGGAGCCCCGTCCTCAAGCTGCAGCTCCAGCTCCGGAAAATCAGAGAAATTCCAGCTAAGGTCCTCAAAGAGGAACCCTGTATCTGGGAACGTCTGCGGCTCAGCGTCAACATCTATGATCTGAGGGGGAGGGGCTGATCGAACTGTCGGCCGAAGTAGGGCTCGCCATGTATACGCGACCAGCGAAAGGTATGAGAGAGATATGCAAGCCGGGTATGAATTTTGGTTCTCATTGATCAAGACCCTTGACTCGTGAAATGACTCTGGTATCGGGACGGACGCCCGCCACTGATGTAAGGCATCAAAGATAGGTCGCGCAGCTTGGATAGAATCAGGTAGGTTCTCAGCCAGCTTCTGGCATGACTTCAGGGAACTAACTCCATGATCAGTATCTATTCAACGTTTTTCAGATGAAGGGTTATGAACCTACTACAAGTCCGCCTGAAGTGTCTCTGCGATCAGGGAGAGTCTAGCCATGTCCCGAAACGGAGACGCCTTCGAAGCATTCGTCTGGTTCCACGGCAAGAAGTCAAAGTCGTCAAGCTCGCCAACATCCCACTCATCTTTACGAATATAAGGGGGCCGACCTGTATGGAGTGAGAGGAACTTGTCTTGTATAAAGACTGCCCACCATAACCTTCGCCGTAGTCGCTTCTCCTGAGCAGGAAGACCCATCATCCTACACTCCAAATGCAGGCCTAGGTTATGTGCTAGTCCTGCGACTGTTCCCATAAACGGCCAAATGGACGACGTATCCGTAAAAGCAGACTGTCGCGGGCTCTCATGGGTCCTGTGAAGGTACAAGATTGCAGCTTGAAGAACATGCAGATGGGGCTTGCAGAATTCCTCTTGCAGGCTTGCATAACATATCTCCCATACATCGTCCAGATTGATGGGATCACAAGCAGAAAGGGCTACCAGATGATCGTCTTGGTGGGCGAACGGGATAGCCGAACCATACAAAGCGGCCAGAAGATGCGTTGGTGTTTCTGTTAGGATGACTGGCTGTGGGAGGGCATCCTGCGATGTCAAACGCATTGCCGTCCGAGAAACTATGGGAAGCATCTCGAAGACATACCTGTGAAATCTTGACGAGCACAAACGGGGTTAATGATGGACCGGAGTTGAAGATATGATCTATCAAACTCACAGACGAACAAGCCGAGCCCCTGTGGACTGCGGCACCAAATATTCCAGTCGCCTACGCAACTCCATGGCCTTTGCTTCGGCAATTGAACTTCGATACAGAGCGTCTGAGCTGAGCAGAAAGTGTACTGGGATCTTGTCCGCCGTCGGCACGCCCCCAGCATTTCGGACATGCAATTTGTGGAAGCTCCGCAAGCCTAGTTCATCGAATCGAAAGTGACGAAGCAGCCAGGGATCTGAACCTGAAGAGCTTCCAAGGAGCATTGCACTATGACCGTCCATACTATCGAGAGTCTGAGAGATCTGAGTCGTAGGCCGGTCAGCCTGTCCACCAGCTGAAGGGGAAACATCAGCGGTATGACTGAATGCGAGGAAAGCCTGATTCTGAGCAGGAGCAGTTTCGTCGACGACGGCAGGTGTAGCAGTTGGCGGGCCATTCGAAAAATCAGTACCGTCTCGAAGACAAGACGAAGCGCGATCTGGTGGTCTTGGCGATGAGTTCTTTCTCACGCCCTGCTTCTGTACCAGTAATCGCTTATGCGGTCTTCCAACGTATGTGCATTCTGTATCGCTTTGTTGACACCTCCGACACGGTGGCTCGCCCTCTGTCTGGCATTTCAGCTTCATCTCTCGGCAACGGTCGCATGGCCGATGCCGCTTTTGCGACCGGTAGGGTCGTATCGTTTCGGCGACTGGGGTCGTTTTTCTCGGCGTTGGGGCCATGGTCGGTCAAATGAAGCACGGCGATGCTGCTCATGTGTAGAGACCAAACTGCTTTGATTTTAGCGATTTCGGCGAACGCTGGTTATGAAGCAGCGTCGGGTGTGTTGCTGAAGTTTGCCAGAATGATGTCAAGTTCGGCGAAATGAGGGGAAGAAGCACGCGGTGTTCCGGCGAAAATTGGTCATCGGCCAAACCAAATCGGCGAACCCTCCAGTGGCCGAAACTCTGTATGAAAGGAAGCCGATTCGCCCATTTAATTGGAAGAGCGATGGATATGTCAAATTAAATGTACGGATCTCTTGCAGCTAGGTCTTTATTCTTTCTCGTCGACTTCAAGTTCTGCGCATTTATCTCAAGCAACAATATTAAAAGCCCACAAACCTCCAGCCTTAGTCTTTGGTTTGCTTATTAACTGCATTTGCATCATGCACATCCATTCAATTACACGGTTACTGCAAAACGAAAAGATGAAGGTTAGTCTCAACTAATCCTGCATAACACATACCTCACGTCGACTGATGAGAGAACAGTCCAGCCATTCCCAAAAGGGTGCCGAATCTAAAGGCACTCAAGCACAGAATCAAACCAGGTCAGAAGCTCTCACCTCCGACCTCGAGCTTACTGATGACTCCCCAGAGGAGGTCTATCCGGAAGGCGGCATGGCTGCATATTTGGTTGTTTTTGGAAGTTTCTGTGCCATCATGGGCGGCCTAGGCCTCATGAACAGCATTGGCATCTACCAATCTTGGATTTCCACCCACCAACTTCATGACGTCGATGAAGGAAAGCTTGCCTGGATATTCGGCCTCTTCAATTTCATGGTCTTCTTCTGTGGCATACAGATTGGCCCTGTTTTCGATGTTCACGGGCCAACATGGCTTATGGCTGTAAGCATTGTGCTGCATGCGGCAGTCTTTGTCTCCATTGGGTTCTGCGAGGAGTACTGGCACTTCCTTGTTGTGATAGGTCTTGTTGCGGGTTCGGCGACATCCATCATATTTGTCGTGCCTGTTGCGACAGTGGGACAGTACTTTCAAGCCAAGCGCGGAGCAGCAACTGGTCTGGCCATGGCTGGAGGCAGTCTTGGAGGCGTCATTTTCCCCCTCATATTCGACAACTTGAGCGAGAGAATCGGGTTTGCGTGGGCAACTCGTTCAATCGGGCTAATAACTATTGTTCTCTTGATGGTTGGCTGCCTTCTTGTACGTTCGCGTGTATCTTTCCGCGATACCCTGCCATTGAACAAAAGTATCTTGCCAGACTTTCGCATCTTACTACAACACAATGTGCTCTTGATGACCATAGGAGTCTTTTTCATCGAGTGGGGATTCTTCATTGGATTGGAGTATGTTGCATCATACTCCCTTGCTCACGGCATTGGCAAGAGGCTGTCATATCTCATGATTGTGTTTCTCAATGCCGGTTCCGTTCCAGGCAGGTGGTTGCCTGGATTAGTCGCCGACAGACTCGGACGGATGAACACCATGATCGCGACAAATGTAATTTGCATTATCGCCATCCTGGGCATATGGTTACCGGCCAGTGGCAATGTTGCAGCCGTCATAGTCTTCTGTGTTGCCTTTGGCTTTGCAAGTGGAAGCAACATCAGCCTGGTACCTGTTTGCGTGGGCGAATATTGTTCCACTCAAGATTATGGGCGATATTATTCCACTGTGTACACTGTTGTTAGTCTTGGGTAAGTTATTTTCGCTGTAAGAGTTTGACCAGCTGGGTTGCTGACACTTACAGGGCATTGGCTGGTGTGCCGATAGCTGGAGCAATTCTTGAGAAATCGCACGGTTCCTATTCTGGGCTAATAATCTTCGCCGGGGTCTCGTATGTTGCCGGAACTGCTTGCTTCGTTGGGCTCGTTGTCTTGCACCGATAGTTCTCTTGAAACCACTTTACGACGATTGCTGCGGGGAATACATCTTAATTACCCGGTAATTTTGTTTGTTGAAGGTGGTGGAAACCATGTTGGGGCGTCAGCCAACACATCATCTGGAAGCGGGCTGCAATGATGGACAGATCCTCCTCTGATCACTTTATTCGAAGACTGGTCGTTCGCTCAGGCACCAATGTCAACATCGAGAACAAACTAACTAACAAAATGAGGAGGCTGGAGTCTGAAGATTACTTAGAAGTCGTAGGAAGACACGGTTTTGCTTAACGACAGTCCACAACAACACAATTACCAAACTGGAAAGCCTTTTGAAAAGGCGGGTGAAGCAAAGCCCAGCAGCATTTCTGCCCGAGACTACGCAGCCTGATTGTGTTCATGAGATGCCATGTGTGTAACTGCGGAGAAGCTGCATAATTCCTTTACTTGCCCGTTGATTCGCTTTTACCTCTATCAACCCCATTACTCTCGCCAAGATGAGCAGCCACCCAGTGTGGTCATCACAACAAGCGCTCTTTTTGGACTAAAGAATCTAGGGTGTGCATATTTATGCGCCCACTTCCCTACCTCCCAGTTTACTCACCAAGTACCCAGAATCGGGCCTCGGCCGTTGATATAGACATCAATACCAAGCCGAAAACAGCGACATGATAGTCTAGACTTTGCTCTTAGATGACCAGCGCGTAGTTGCCAGCGACGGATCACAACGTCGATATTAGCACTGTCTATATAAGCTCTTCTGAAACCTGCTGTATCCACGAGCCACACTCGCTGTTAGGGATGTCTTTGAAATCGCACTGCCCTACAGCCTCCTCGACGCCCAGCTCGAGCATTTGGTTGATCCATGCAGGTATGGTTTCCATGTCTGGCGTCTGCTGTCTTGGCATCTTACTGAGAAGTTCAGTCAGGGTTTGAGCTCCTACCTGAGCCATATTGCTCACTTCCGCAAGCATTCGCAGACGTGCAAGCGCGTCGTCAACAGCGCGCAAGCATTGGTCCCGAGATACGTGAGCCTTCCCAGGCCCGAGAGGATCTATCCTGAGCGTGGTGAGAGGGCCATCCTCGCTCTTGCCCGGAAAGCCGATATCCGTACAGAGGCCGACAAGCAGAACGGCAGCTTCAAATGTTGGGAAGATGATGCCCACGAACCGTGTGTGGCAGCCGCCTAGTATGGTGTGCAACTTAGAGACGCTTTCCAGTACTCTCAATGCTGCCACGGCCAGAGCCCTTCTCTGACACGATAGAAGAACTCGCTTGTATACGGGAAGCCTATTTAGGCAGGCTGGGTTCTGAAGCAGTACTGGACGAAAGTTGCAGCAGAGCGACTCGAAAATGGTGGTATGCAGGTTTTGCCTTTGTAGAGGCAGCATAGGAAGACGCTCGTCCCATTGTGTGCTGGAGTCCAGAGCGAAGGCCGGTGGCAAAGTTGTGAGAAATCCGTTGCAAAACTTCTCGTATGTTGCTTCGGCCACGGTCGCGTCATACTCTCGCCTCGGCAAGAAGTCTCTCCAAAAAGACGCCAGACGGGCTTGGATCAAACGTTCTGAGAACTCTTCAGGGGCGTCGGCGTCGTCAACATTTGGACCGAGGTGCATCCGTGGAAGGTTTTCGTCGGTCAAACCCGAGGGCAAGAAAGGGGACACGTCAAGTTGTCTCGAGAAAAGGCTGAGTAAACGTTAGCTGTGAGTGACCAAATATGAGCCGTCGAGGTGAGCGTGGTACCTGTCCCATATGAAAAGGTTGCAGTACACCCTGCGACGCATTTCCTTGTCTAACTCATTCATTCCCATGATTGTTGCCACAGGCTTTCTATCAAGTCCAATTCTGTGTGCGACTCGAACCGCGTCGCCAAACGCTTCCCAAAACATCCTATTTCGCCCTTCGCACTGGTACCGTAATCCCAAAAAGAGCAGATGCTGCACGCGTAGAAGAGAGCCCTTCCCGTCGAGTCGAATGCAGATTGCTGTAAGCTTGTCGGCGACATCATTGAGTAAGTCCCGAATGTCCGTCAGGGACATGCCTCTGATCTTATCGATAGTGTAAGACGGCGAGGGGAGAAACTGCAAAGCGTGAGAACACATCCTCAGGAGCAGCACTGCGAACTCGACGTCAAGTGTTGATGACGGTCGTTCTGAGTTCCACCATACTTGGTACTGTGCCAAGAACCAAGGTGGGTGCACAAGTTGTTCCATCCTACGAGAGTTGTAATTGTTAGTCGGTTTTCCAGGTTATCACTAGCTGGCAGCCCTGCGATACGAACCAGTGGATTTCCATCACATAGTATTGCACGAGAAAGTCAAGAATCTGACGATCGGGCATTCTTTCCGTTTGATCTTCAACTTCTTCCAACGACTCTAAAGGGATAGGCGCGCATTGTCTATCCCGGATTTGGTGATTTCTCAGCCCTAGCTATGTGCAGCTGTCAGAAATGATACATCACGAATGGCGAATAAGCCAAGAATGTCGCGGGGAGCTTGAGCATGTAATGAGAGAAGGGGGAGCAACTGCACTGACCCCACAGACCACAGCCATAGTGTTAGACTCGCTGTCCTCAAAATATCCAAACACTTCGGCTATCGAATCCGCCACGTCAATCCTGCTCTCCTGGTCTGTGATACTCCGAGCAGAACCGCTGCTACAGTTTTGTTGAATTCGGGTATCATGTGCTGTAGGAGCATCTTCGTTTTGGCGAGCCTCTGTTTGAATTGGTGAAGTATTGGCTTGCAATGCCTGCGAGTTGTAATAAGCGCACTCCTCGGGTCGCCTGCGCCGAGCGCAATGATTGCATGGATAACGACGATTGCACTATGCGGGCACACGAGTTAGGACTGATGAACGATGTCTCACTCCGGGAAGTTGTGGGCAAATCTCCAGACCTTCTGCTTCCTAGTGTAACATGGAATACAAGATGATACAACACGCTTTCGGCCAGGCTTTTGCATGTCCGATGTTTCTGGCTCGGATCTAGAAGCAATGCGGAACGCATCCATTTGATTTGACTTTCATCTAGTTTCCTGGGCGAAGACAAGAGCTGGAATACGGCAAAAGTGATGGAGGGTTTTATCATCAGCTTATCCATCGAGCTTTGTGGTCGGCGACTGGCCAGATAGAGCCCGGAACGAACTATTGGAGACAGTGACGAGAGCTTGTATTGTTCTTCAGCTGCCTTGCAACACTCAAAGTTCCTATCTGCAGCTTACATACATGCCTGTCATACCAGAATACGAAGTATTTCGTCTCAAGGCTCGCTGGGCGAATTCGTCTTTATGTCTTGACATGAGGTTATTCTCATTTTGTAAAGTGTATCATCGCGCCTACCATAGCCACCCCTCCCCCTACCCCCTAATCCTAAAGGACTAGGGTCTTTTACCTCTGCGGCGGTACTAATGCGACGATTCTCCAGGCCCGGTCCGTCGTCGAACTAGGATCTAGCCGTGCTTCGTTCTACATGCCGTGCTGCATCGGTTCGATTACGCAGCCGTCTCTTACAGGAATGGCGCGGGCGTTGGAGGGACTTCCATCAAGGGTTGCCGTGGGGGATGATAAGCGAAGTCGATGGCCCCGGTAAGCAGACGAGTCCCCCGGACTTAACGGACAGGCATGCAGAAATCCTGGGATGTTTCTGACTGCAGTGTTTCGGCCCTGGTGGCGACAAATAAATCAGCGTCAAGTGCCATCAATCATTGGCCACGGCGTTTCTTTCATAACAGATATCCGTCGCGGAGAGATGAGTTAGGAGTGAAGGGTGACAATCATACGAGAACGGTCTGGCAACAAGCCTCGGCAAAGTACACTTTCATGACTCACGTATCCCAGCTATGAGCGTTCAATGTACCTCCTTGTCAGTCCCGGTTGCTGACTCGCATATCTGTCTTGTGCGTTCCGATGATGCTACGTGACGATCCAGGGTCCTCATGGTCGGCCGATATTTTTCGCCCGAGAATCATCGGCTTAGGTACGGCACCTTACCATTAGCCTGCGACTGTGACAGCACCACGAGGTACTTCTTGTTCATCTAAAGATCAGGAATACTTAGGGCTCAATCTTGCGATGAGGTCTAGAGAGCATGAAAGTGACGGATGTTGGGTCTCACTCATAGTGTTGTCGCCTGAATAAATAAAGCCGAGCTCTCAGATCTTCACTTTATATCCACAGACGCCATCAACCAAATATTTCTTTGTATTTGGTGTGCTGTACATCACTATGGCTCTTTCAGATGCGATCCAACTTCTCGGTCGCGGGCTGCTGTCAACGCCACTCGGCCTTCTTGCCGTACTCGGAGTCCTTTATCTCTTATACAAACGGTTGCTATTACCCCGGCCCCTCCCGGGTATTCCGTACAATCCGGAGTCAGCCCACAAAATCCTGGGGGATGCCCCAGATATGCTGCGGGAGGTCAGCGTCACTAGGGAGCTCAATGTGTGGCTACTCAAGCAGGTGAACACCCTGCAGACACCCCTATCCCAGGTGTTTGTGGATCCCTTTTCGAAGCCCTGGGTACTTCTCGCCGACGCCATCGAGGCCCAGGATGTCATGATGCGGCGGCCCGAGTTCGACCGGTCGGACTTTATCACCGACGGGCTGGGCCCGGTGGGCGCTTTCCATGCCCGGATGAAGAGGGGCCAGACTTGGAAGCAAACAAGAGCCTGGCTGCAGGATCTCATGAGTCCCAGCTTTCTGAATGGAACGGTCGGCCCCGTCATGTACGACAATGCGCTTCATCTCGTCCACTTCTGGGAGATGAAAGCTCGCTTGGGCAGTGGACGACCGTTTGACGTCAACGAGGATCTGAATCACAACGCTCTAGATGGCATGCTTTCCTTCGTGTTTGACAAACACTTTGAGCACACTGCTCTGGGTCCCCAATTCAAGGCTCTCTCTCAGCTAGACCCCTCAAGCATCGAGATCGGACCAGACGGAGAGGCCAAATTCCCCGAGGCACCGGTTCATGAGTTCATTTCTGCACTTTATGAAACGGTTGAAGGCATCGACGAAGTAACCAAGTCTATGTTCCCGTGGCTGAAGACATGGTGGATCAACCAGACACCAAAGTTTAGGAAGCTAGTTGCAGTGAAGAGACAAGTTGTGCGAGAGCAAATTCAAGGCTCTCTTGGGAGGTTAGATGAGACGGGGGAAGCCAAGACGGCAGTGGAATACATGTTGATGCGTGAGAAGAGGACTGCAGAAAAAGAGGGCCGCAAGCCTGATTTTGAGAATCCGATTTTGATGGACGAGGTAAGATCAAGAGCGCTCTCAAACATCAAGGCTTGGAAGCCCGTCGATATCAGGCACTGATGTGGAGAACAGATTGCAGGACAGTTCATAGCTGGCTTACACACGACCAGCACGACACTCGCCTGGACATTCATTTACTTGACTCGGCTACCAGAAGTCCAAACCAAGCTGCGGCGTGCGCTGCATACGGCCTACGCCGATGCGCACAATCAATCTCGGACGCCCACGCTAGCCGAACTGAACAAGACGCGGGTGCCCTATCTTGAAGCTGTGCTGGAGGAGGCGCTCCGGCTGCATGCCACCAGCGTAGCACGGCAGGCAACCCGCGACACAGAGGTATTCGGCCATCGCATCCCCAAGGGCACGAATGTAGTCATGGTCGCCAACGGGCCGGGATTCCATGCGCCATCCTTTGACGTGGACCCCAGCCGGCGCAATGCGACGGCGAAGACGACAGTGGGCTGGGATGAGGGGCGAGACATGAAGGCGTTCGACCCAGAGCGATGGCTCATACGCGGGGAAGTTGATGGAGCCGTGGAGTTCAACGCAAACGCAGCACCACAAATCGCCTTTGGTATGGGTCCTCGCAGCTGTTGGGGTCGCCGACTGGCGTATCTAGAACTGCGCATGGTTACGACTCTTGTGGTGTGGACATTTGACCTGCTGGAGGTCAGCCCATCGCTTGCCGATCCCAAGGCTAGTTACGGAATAGTCCACAGAGCGGATCGGTGCTTTTTGAGACTCAGACCCCGGGTGAACATTCAGAAGAATGAGGAGTAAACGTGGTTGAGATTATTGAGATGTTACTCGGTCCGTCTTGTCCGCGTATAATGTGGAATGTTTCTTCCACATTCATTTCGTTATCAGCTGGGGAAGAATGTAACCTCCGGGGCAAAATACTATTTATGCATATGCACATACTATGTAGTCAACGGAGATCCCGAGTTCTTACCGCGTGGAGGTTATCCGAATACTTATTGGTCGGAAACCGATGGGATGGATCAAATCCTTGTCTCAATCCAGGGTTGTGACATTTCTTCTTTCCCTCTGAAGCAAAAGCTGCCAGGAAAGTCGTCTGACACGACCCATTATTTAGACTCCGTACGCCGCGTAAAGTTTTGCAAGGGATCTAGAGAATCTGCATTGCCACAAGTTTTCCTGCAGCCGTGATGACTCTAATCCGCTTGAAGGCAAGAGTTCGCAAAGATGTTGCATCAACCAGGATACATTTACTTTGAGTGCGAGTCCTGGAAGGCTGTATATGGGAGTATTATCCTAGGAATCCAAGCGGTGAAATCTCATTTGACGTCCGGTCTCTACCCTCCTCATGACGTGCTCCCCAGCGACGGGGTCGCTGTCAGCGACTGTGGAGTATTTCGAGAAATATGCTCCGAAACAATCTTTATCAAAAGCGACCCGCGTCTCGAAAAGGCCTTGATCTGCGTTACGAGTAGAGCTCAGCGCGGTACGGTGAGCGATGTCACAAGGCTTTCGAAAGGAAGTGGAGGGGCGAGGAGTCATATCCTTTAAGCCAATGGTCTGATGAATTATCTGACTATGGTCTAAACTAATGGTACAATGAAGGTCCCTGTATCCCTTCGACAGTGAGGGCCCGTCATGTCGCTTCCTGCAGAGACCACTTTTGTCACGATGCCTGTACTGAGCTGGGTTGCTGGGTCAAAAGGAAGAATTGGCGATGACAAAAGCCCACCTTCCTCGACAAGTAAGGGATCTCGAGAAAGGACAGGCAGCCTGAAAAAGAAAAGTCTCGAGTTGTCTCCTCGAAGAAGACAATGTTGACGAGCACCTATCAGGCGGCAGCAATGCCAGTGCTTGCACCAAAGAGCCTCTCACGCCGCATGATGAGACTCAGAATAGCAGTGAGCCCTCCAGCGGCAATGACTAGCGTGTATGTCTGATCTATGGCTTTGACAATGGCGTCGAGGACTCTGGTCCTGAGCTCTGCAGAGAGACCGCGCACAAGGCTTGAGCGGGCACCCAGGATTGCAGCTTGAATATCAGCTGAGGGTGTGTTGGGCAAGATCTGTTGAATCTTGTCTTGGCTGGAGTTGAGGAGAATGGCATTGGCGATGGCCAAGGAGAGGGTAATTCCCACGAATTGGGCAAGAGTGATGAATCCGATGGCTGGAGGGATATCAAGCGGCTTCACAACCGTTTGAACGACGGAGAAGGAAGCTTGTAGAAACATGCCGACTCCAGCGCCGATGATCACTGTGTAACCATACACGCGGCTTGTGGGCGTGTCTTGCTCCACAGTGTACATGAGCGCGCCCCCCACCACAACCAGAAGGCCGCCCACCAGATACCATGGCATGTAATATCCCAGCTTAGGCATCAGAGCGCCATTGCTGAAGACGATAACTACCATTACGACAATGAAGGGAAGCAGACGGACTCCTGCATCCAATGGACCATCATTGCGGGTGAATTGGAAGAAAATGGGGACCATGTAGATGGGCACGAACGAGCCTGCGCCACCGGTGGCGCAGGCTACGAATAGGATAAGTACAGAACGAGAGCGGAAGAACTGGATAGGGATTGTGCGACGGTCGGGTGTGGTGAAGATGCTGAGGACTTGCTGAACCCCGAGGATGATGAAGAGGACCCCGGTAACAACAAACAACGCAATGATGCGGCCAGAGTCCCACGGGTACACAACACCGCCCAAGTTGACTGCCAGAATCAAGGCGGTGAGCGCTCCCGCTTGAAGAGTGAAACCGGCATAGTCCACCTCGACGAAACGAGACCGGAGCGACGCTCCAGGGCGAGGGTCTTTGCTCGGGATCAAGAAGATGTAGAAAGGTGCGCACACGGCGCCGATGAACAGGTTGATGTAGAAGGCCCAGCGCCAGCCCACCGAAGATTCGCTGAAGGCGCCGCCAATAACGGGACCGAGAACGATGCCGAGACCCCATGTAAGACCGGTGCTGGAGACATACAGCGGGCGCTCAGCCATGGTGGTGGTGGTAGAAATGAGTGTCATGCAGCCGACATACAATCCCGAACCGCCAGCTCCAGCGATGGCGCGTCCCAGAATCATGACATCCATGGTCGGCGCAGCGCCACATATGACAGAGCCAACCTCAAAAAGAACAACGTGGAAAATGTAGAGCCACTTTGGGTTGAATTGGCTGTACAAGCGGCCCCAAGCCAGATTGGTCGCAGTTGCGGTGAGAAGAAAGGCAACGCTGAGCCATGAGAGTTTCTGAATGTTGCCAAACTCCAAAATGATGACTGGCTGTAGGTCGGCAACCACGGTGTTGTCTAGAGCGTAGATGAAGGTAGAAAGCAAGATTGAAATGATGGTAAGATACCATTTCCAACCGTTGATTTCACGGGGAGGAGCCTCGGGTTGCAAGGTGGTCTCGGAGCTGTCTGGCGCTTGTTGTGATTGCTTCTCTTCATCTTTTGAGCTGTGTTCTGCCGGACTCGTTGAGCCTTCCTTGGACGTGGTGATGTCACCGAGGCTGGTGTCGCCCGAGCTGTCCTTTCCTTCGTCAATCACCGCCATTGAATTGTTTTGACGGATGAAATGTGAATTGTGACTACCAGATGAAAGAAACGTGAAGGAATGAAGTATGATGTCGTGAGTTGATGAGTAAAGAGTGATGGAGAAGAATTGAAGGTCTTTTTATCCTAATTCATCAACTACGTCTTAGGTAGTGATATCTTGAAGTCTTAGATATTAATAAGCTTTTTGATGAAGCTTTCGTCAAAATGGCCCTTCCTAGCCTTGAATTATCCCGATTCCCATCTGGTCAACAGTCAACACACGGCTGATCGACGCTACGGCACTTTCAGCAATCTCAGACAAGCTTGGGCAGATTTGTAAAGTCGGGATTGAATTTGGCCGGTCGACAGGGGATGAGGAGAAGAAGGGCTTGCATCCCCGACTCTTTCAATCAAACATCAGGTGGTTCTAGGGCCGGCCCGCGTCGCCATATGCGTCCCTCGGCCGTTGGTTCGTCGATGAACGGGGTGGTATTCAAGGGAGGTAGCAGTGCATCTTACCACGCCTTATCAAAGCAAGCATAGGGGTGGGGTGGGGAGAACGGCTGTTGGCCGTGGGAGACAGCGGTATGCATCCGGGGAAAGTTTAAATTCAGACCCTTGAATGATTGAACGCAAGGGGCTGTTGGTATTCGACGCGACACTTTCCTGAACGAGACTGACTGGGATGTGAATTGTAGCCTGGCTCTATGTCAGAGCGACGTGGCAGCCATCCCACTGCGACATGAGATGTCTTGTAAGTCTGTTTACACGTTCGGAGTATTATCGGAGCTGAATGCAGAACTCCGGGATGCCTTCCAAACACAAGACTGAGCTACCTGCGTCTTTTACATGATTATAGCCAGGGCACACAGATGCGGGATTCCATCACAGAGTGCTCTACTGTGAATTTGTACTCTCTGAACTCAGTGCCTTTACTCGTCCATATGCCTGATGAGGCTTGTCTAGGCCCAGTTTGATCCAAAGTGGTTTAGAGTGCATGAAGCAGCGGCTTTCTCAGCTCGATACGAGTGCCCTTGTCTCTATTTTCACAGCTCGTCTACTCCATGCTTGGCTTCCATCACACTTTGATTTCAGCGGCGTAAGTGCGCCTCCACCAAGCCCATCAGCCCTTCGGGACGAACAGAACGGATCTCATATCTCTCATCCGCCTGCTTTAGCAGAGCCTCGAAATCATCCGCAGTACGCAGCTTACCACCAAAGCCCACCAGCATGATTAAATCAATCTGGCGCATGCCACGTTCCACGTCGCGCGTAAGCACGCCCTGCTCTGGCAAGATCATGTCGTTGATAAGCAACGGCGTGCCAGGCTTGGAGCTCTCGAGACCCGGAACGAGGGCGCGGAACATGTCAACGACGCGGGCATCACACCAGTTAAGCGCACACGCACGCAAAATGAAGGCCGCGGCATCGCCAACAGGCTGCGGGTCGAAGAAGCTGTGCTGCATGAAGGTGACGCGTCCGCGAGTGTCGTCGGTGAGGAGTGATTGACCTGCTACGTGCATGTCTGCTGAGTCTTGGACGATGAAATTGAGGTTGGGGAAGGTCTGTGTTGACGAGTGAGAAAAGACGATCACGAAAATTAGGGAAAATGTGAGAGTTGCTTACTTACCTTTGCTAAAGTAATGGAGACCTTGCCGCTGCCACCGCCAACATCGACGACGGTTCCGTTCAGATTGCCCCATGGAAAGGAGTCTTTCAGAGCATCAATGTTGAGGTTCACTTTTACGCGTTAGTCTAGAGCATCCCACTCCGATCAGATCAACCCCAGGCCTGGGAGCAAAGAAGCGGCGCGCAGCACTGATAGGAAGGAAAAGGGGCTCTACATTTGGCCCAGCCTGCCATGGCTTTGGCAAAACGGATGGAACGCTGGGTATCCTTCTCGTAGAAGTTGAAGATCGGAAGGCCATGTCTCGTCGTGAACGGGGTGACAGTACTATCATAGTTCTTGGGTGATACCTTGACATTGTCAGCGGTTGCGGTGGCCGCTTTGAACATCTCGTCAAGTCTGCACGGAGAAATTAGCAAACAACATGAGTCGGCGTCTCGTTGGTGGCGTACGTGTAATGCAGCGTTGCACGAATCTCCTCGTCCTTGTGTAAAAGGTACGAGCTGGGATTATGGGCGACATATCCAGGCGTTGGCTCCCGGAAGATGGACTCGGTCGCAAGGAGACGAACGATGCGGGTAGTTCTGTCGAGATCGACACCAGCCCGGTCGGCCAATTCTTCCAGCGATATCTTCCCCTCGGCAGGGACAATACTGAAGAAGTCAAAGTCGAGGGCCACTGAGATTGCAGCGAGCTCGTATCCTTGACAGGCGAGATTCCGGAAGTGTCGCTTCGGGCCCTCGACCAGATACTGGAGGTCTTCCAAAGATCGCTTCAGCTCGCCCTGAAGCTTGGCGTAGTCGAGAGTCTCGGGACGAGTGGCGTCATCGGATGCAAAGGTAGGCTGCTCAAGGTTGTTGGAATTCAAGTACTTGACTATGCGCTGAGTTTGTTGGACGATGTCCTCGGCAAGGGCGAGGAGTCCGCTCCCATGAGCACCGTTACTTTGCGATGGCATGATAAAATCAGGGCAAACCGTCTTCAGAATGGAAGGCCAATATTGATCCTCGAAACTGATTTTCTATGAATGCCTCAACACTCATAAGCATAGTACATTTATACACGTTGACTTCACGTGTAGGCTGGGACAAGTCCAAAGCCGTCTTGGTCGGGTTTCTTGTGACTTCGGGCGTCATGCCGTTTCGATACTTCCTGAGTCAATGCCCAGCCGTAAAGCCAAGTTACATTACACCATTTCAATGCACGTAGTCATGCAGTGCCCGTTTCTTGCGCAAATAATGTTTTATCATTTGAGCGGACGAGAGGGGTATCGTAAACCGCGCCGCTTGTTGGCGTTGGCTGTCAAGGGAAGCTTACGATACATCAGATTCGTTATCCCTCGCAGACCTAAAATGATGTAGGATTCTCAAGGATACTGGAACCGCTGCGCAACATGGTTTCATGGACGCCGTTGGCATGCAGCTCGAAACCCACAGCATTGCAACCAACGTCGGCCGATGTTTCGCGGGCAGAATCTGAACGACTGCGCTCCCCATCTCAAACCCCACTATGCATGTAGCAATGCGTTGGTTTCTGATCAGTCGATAGGTATTACCAACCAAAAACCGGGTAATGTAAGTTTCGGGCATAGGTTGCTTATATTGTACAAACGGCCGATATTTCACGGCTCATTTTGTAGCAACGCGCGTATCAATGCCTCGCTACGAATCTGCCCGCGTTATGTCATTTTTGTTCGTGATGCACGCGCCCGGCCGAGTGAACGGCCGACGAGGAGTTGTGATGTGAGTTTGCGGCGAAGTGCGTCCTTTCGACGATCTTCGTCGAAGCCCCGACGACGCACTTCACTGTGCGGCAACGAGGAGTTTCGTGTTGGCTCAAAGGTATTATCTCGCTAGCCGCCGGTGCCGCCTGCGGGTTGCTCTTTAAAAGATCTTGCAAAGCATGGGGTCTTAGCTTCCAGGAAGTGTTAGTCGTGGATGTCATTTTCAATGTTTATATGCCCAACTCTTTCATCTCTGCAATCCATCAGATCAATCCCAACAACAAGCGGGACATCAGCGCCTCAATCGAGGGCCACTCGTCAACGTGTGACATAGTTAACATTATCTGAGTGTCTTCTAGTTATCAAGAAGACAAAAGTACAACAACAGTCAAGCTAACCCTACCTAGACTTGGAACAAGTAACGCCATGAGTGAGACGCGTCAGCCAGAGCCCGTGGCCATCGTGGGCATGGGTAAGTCCCTCCCCTCAACTTTCTCAAATCGCATGCTAATGGTATGCTTAAGGTTGCCGCTGGGCGGGAGGCATTCGCGACACATCCGGGCTCTGGGAATTCCTTATCAACAAGCGCTCTGGATACCAGGACTGGGCGGAGCCTCGCTTTTCAGCCAAAGGATTCTACCATCCCAACCCAGAACGCCCCGGAACCACGGCAGCAAAGGGCGGATACGTGGTAACTGATGATCCGCGCCTCTTCGATCCCGCCTTCTTTGGCATCTCGGGTCTTGAAGCCGAGACCATGGATCCCTCACAGCGGAAGCTTCTGGAGGTCATCTATGAAGCGTTTGAGAGTGCTGGTGACACGTGGGAGAGCGTCAACGGAACCCGTACGGGCGTTTACGTTGCCGACATCTCCTACGATAACGCGTATGCACAGACGCGCGATTGGGAGTATGCGAGACCGCATGCCACCACGGGCGTCTGTCACAATATTCTTAGCAATCGCATCAACTACATCTTCAATCTCCTCGGCCCCAGGTAAGTGTCGCTATGTGTTACTCCCGAGTGACCACTAACATAGAGACAGCGTCACGCTCGACAGTGCCTGCACATCGGCATTGTACGCGCTACATTTCGCTATCCAGGCAATACGCGATGGCGACTGCGACTCAGCAATCGTCGCAACAGCAAACTGGATCATGGACCCAGCCATGCAAATTGCCATGGACAAGCTGGGCGCGCTCTCAGGCACATCCATGAGCCACACATTTGACGCCTCGGCTGACGGCTACGCCCGCGGCGAGGGATTTGCAGCCATCTATCTCAAGAAGCCGGATACAGCCATTCGAGACGGATCCCCAATCCGAGCTTTGGTTCGCGGAAGTGCCATCGGTGCTAACGGCCGGTCAAGCGGCATCACCCACCCCAGTGGCGTCGCGCAGGAGGGAATCATCCGCAAGGCGTACGCCAATGCTGGCAATCTGCCGCCCTCGGAGACGATATTCCTCGAGTGCCATGGCACAGGTACGCGCGTTGGTGATCCTCTTGAAGTGGAGGCAGCCGGGAAAGTCTTCGGCCCTGGACGGTCGGATGCCGAGGAGGACCGGCTGCTGATCGGATCCGTCAAGACCAACTTGGGCCATACCGAGGGCGCGGCAGCACTCGCGGGTATCTTCAAGGCGGTACTAGCGCTCGAAGAGGGTGTGATTCCGCCCAGTATTGGAGTCAAGACACTGAACCCCCGCATCGACTTCGATAAGGCCAAAGCCAAGGTCGTCACCGAGGTCATCCCCTGGCCTGAGGGTAAGCTGCGGCGGGCGAGTGTCACGTCTGCCGGTTTCGGTGGTTCCATCGGACATTGTATCATCGACCATGTCAACGTTGTTTACCCAGACTACGTCAAGCCAGGTATCCGAGGCAAGGTTGTGGCTAATGGAAACGGCCTGACCAATGGATCGGCCAAGCACAGCATTAGCAATAGCACCAGCAACGGCAACTCTCACACCAATGGTCACAATGGCCACAACGGACACAACGGTACGAATGGCACCAACGGCACCAATGGCGCGGGAGAGAACGGTGTCGGGAACGGGAGTCATGAGACTCCATCCCTGCATTCTCCTATCCTCAGCAAACCGAAAGCAACTAGAAAGGCTGATGCTGACACTCGTCAACTTGTTCTGCTCCCCTTCTCGGCTCACAACGAGACTTCCTTGAATGCCAACATCGCCGCCCTATCCTCCGTTGCGAACCGCCACTCTCTGGCAGACATCGCTTACACGCTCAGCGCCCGGCGCTCCAAGCTCGGTCAACGCACATTCCGAATCATCGATAAAAATGATGTTACGGCAGGGCTGCAAGCTACTGCTCTCAAATTCTCCTCCAATCCATCTGAAGCGCCACGTCTAGGCTTTGTCTTCACTGGCCAGGGAGCACAGTGGCACGCCATGGGTGCCCAGCTGTTCGAATATGCCGCCTTCCGTGTTGCGATTGAACATCTAGACCATGTTGTAACTTCCTTGCCAGGTGGCTCACCTTCCTGGAAACTCGTCGATATTCTTTCCGGCCACTGCGATGCCGATCGGGTTAATTCCCCCGACATCTCGCAGCCCATATGCACAGCCGTCCAGATTGGTCTTGTAGACCTGCTCGCTTCATGGGGCGTCCGTCCCTCTGGCGTCGTCGGCCACTCGTCGGGTGAGATGGCTGCCGCGTATGCTGCGGGATATATAACCGCGGCCGAGGCCATCACGATTGCGTATTACCGTGGAGTGGCTGTCTCCCGCAACAAGAGCAAGGGTGCTATGCTCGCCGTCGGCGTGGGTCGTGACGAGGCGGCCGAGTTTCTGAGGGGTCTTGAGCAGGATATCAAGATTGCGGCCATCAACTCGCCGGGCAGTGTCACGCTTTCTGGAGAGCAGGAGGCCGTCCAACAGCTTGCTGCAACTCTGACGGAGAAGAACATCTTCAATCGGCTGCTTAAGACAGGAGGCAATGCGTACCATTCGCACCACATGGCTGCACTAGGCTCCCAGTATCAAGACCTGCTGGAGGGCGGCATGAAGCATTTGGAGACTCTCAAACTGCGCGAGAAGCAGCATCGATATGCTCCGGTACCTTGGACGTCATCCGTAACGCCAAACAAGATGGCTGAGGCCGACTCGTCTTACTGGCGCGCCAACCTCGAGTCCCCCGTGCGATTCTCCGAGGCCGTCACCAAGCTTCTTGAGCTGGAAGGCCTGGATATTGGGGCGCTGGTAGAGATCGGACCGCACCCCGCGCTGAAAAGCCCGCTTGACCAAATCGCTAAGAGCATTGGCAAGAAGATACCACACGTCGGATCCTTGAAACGCGGTGAAGACAGCCGTGTATCCATGCTACAGCTCGCCGGGTCTCTGTTCGGTCTGAACGCCGAGATCGACCTGGTAGCCGTGAACGCAACCGACGATCATGAACCAGGGACTCAAGCCCACGGTGTCATGGCCAAAGATCTCCCGCCCTATCAGTACACTTACGGGCCCGTCAGCTACTACGAGGGCCGTGCCAGCAAGGAGTTCCGCCTCCGCAGCGTGCCGCGACACGACCTCATCGGGTCCAAGGTATCCGGTAACGCGAAGCTGAGGCCGCAGTTCCGGAACGTTCTGCGGCTCAAAGACCTGCCCTGGCTCGAACACCACCGTCTACTTCCGGACGTCGTCTTCCCAGCCGCCGGGTATATGGCTATGGCGATGGTGGCTGCGTCGCAAATTCACGAGGAATCCCCAGATGTTCTGCCCATTGCGGGATACTCGCTGCGTAACGTGGACATCAAGACAGCCCTGAAGATCCCCGAGGACCAGCACGGGATCGAGGTCATGCTGAGCTTGGAACTCCCCGACCAGGCAACGGCACGCGAGCCGACGTGGGCTAGTTTTTCGGTCAGCTCTGTTGCGCGCGACTCAGACCAGTGGACGGAACATTGCACTGGGCAGGTCCGAGTTGACATTATGGAAGCGGCGAATACGAGTGAGATGAGCATCAGTTCAGCCGATGAGTCCCGGGCTGTGGACTCGCGTGCTTGGTACAAGACATTCTCGGCCATCGGCCTCGGGTACGGTCCAGCTTTCCAGGCACTCTCGGATATGCGTGCTGCTCCAGACAAGGGGTTGGTCTCCGCCAAGTTGGGCCTCAAGACGACATCTGGAATAGTCAAGGGAGGAGAGTCAAGCTACCCGATACACCCTGCCTCGCTGGACGCCATGATCCAGCTTGGCCTCGTCGCCTGCCACGGCGGGCAGACCGATCGAGCCACCACCGCCTTCGTGCCAACCCACGTCTCGGAGCTCCATGTTCGAGCCGGAAGAGACCTTGATGATAGGGACTGGGGCACTGCCATCGCCCACGGCGAGTTCCGTGGTCTCCGGTCAGCGTACATCCAGCTTCAACTTCAAGGTCCCGCGGGTGGCCTGATGATTGACGTCAAGAACCTGCGCTGCACCAGCTACGCCCTTCAAGACCGGTCTTCCGATACTGAACAAGCCAAGGCCTTCTCCAGCCCGTTCACGCGCATGGTGTATAAGCCCGATTTTCGCGCTCTGAGCAACCGTCAGGCTCGCGCATTGCTCCCACCACCACCAGAGAATGCTGCCCTTGTGCCGCTGCTCGGCCATCTGGAGACCTTGGCAGCCCTAGTTGCCGTCGATATGTATGAAACCCATATCGCTGGTAGAAAGGCGGTGTCGAATACGTCAGCGCCGGTTGACGATTACATCGCGTGGATAAAGAGACTCGTAGAGGGGAGCCAAGCAGATACCATCACCAAGGCAAAGAACCTGTCATCTGCTCAACGTCAAGAGGCCCTTAAGGATGCGTACCAGAACACAGGCGATGCTGTCGAGGCACAGGCTCTGCGGCGTCTTCACGATAACCTGGGAGACATGGTTCAAAATCGTAGAACTGGCGATGAAATCCTGGCGGAAGGTGGTCTGCTTGCGGATTTCTATGACAAGAGCTTGTTCCTCACCGGAGCGCAACCCCAGTTAACCAGTCTTTTTGACCTCATCAGCCACACCAACCCGAACCTCCGAATTTTGGAACTCAAGGGTGGAAATGGCGACACGGCGCGCGTCGTATTAGCCGCGCTGAGTAGCACAAAGGGTCTCAAGCGCTACCAGGACTACACGGTGACCGACGTCTCGGACACCGCGCTACAGCAGGCTCGATCTCAGCTTGCTGATCACGGCAGTGTCGAGTTCTCCATTCTTGCCATGGAACAGGATCCTTTAGAGCAAGGCTATGAGTCGGCAGCCTACGACCTCATCATCGCATCCCAAGCCGTACACACCGCCTCATCTGTAACCAAAGCCTTGGGGAATATCCGAAAGCTGCTGCGTCCGGGTGGTAAGCTGATGTTAGTCGAGGCCACCGAAAGCCGTAACAGCGCCTGGGTCGGACTCATCGGCGGTGCGCAGGCTGGATTCTGGCATGCCGTGCCTGATGGTCGGACTGACGGCCCCTTCTTGAGTAATACGGAGTGGGATACCGCTTTGCGTGCGTCCGGTTTCTCAGGGGGCGAGATCGTACTCGACGACTATCCTCACCCTTCGACTCACTCGACGGTGATCATATCCACTCTCATCGAGCCCGTTCCTGCGAAGTTGAATGCTGGGCCCCAAGTCATTCATCTTCTTCACGGAGATGAGGGTGTCACACCGCTCCTGAATCGCCTTTCATCCACACTGGAACGCCGTGGCCTGTCGGTCAAGACCATTTCAATCGACGCTGTGGTAATGGATGTACCCAATAACGCGCGCGTGGTTGCGTTCTTGACCGGAAAGAACTTTCTCTTGGACGCTGACCAGAATCGCCTGGACATCTTCAAGTATCTAGCTCATCACACGTCCACTATGGTGTGGTTGACGTCTTCTGGCATGGCCCAGGGTCGAAGCCCGGACGGCGCCGTGGTAAGCGGCCTACTTCGTACCATCTCCACGGAAGCTCCAACAGGACGCTTCTTCTCAGTCGACGTGGATGCCGACAACTTCAACATTGGTGATGAAGACGATCTAGAAGAGCTTGTTCGTGTTCTCGCAGACTACGAGCAAACTCTCCAACAGCCTTCCGACCCCGATAGCTTCGAGGACCGGGAGTTTGACTGGCACAGCGGCCGTCTCTGGGTGAGCCGGTTGACCCCTGAGCCGGAGCTAGACGCGTACTCTGATGTCTTCGTAACACCAGCCACCCGTGGCGCCAAGATGTTGCCTTTCGACGGCCAGGGTCCGGTGCGGGCCGCCTTTGAGACGCCGGGTATCCTTACCTCACTTTACTTCCGTCCGGACACAGAGCTGCGTCGGCAGCCGCTGGCGCGAGACTGGATCGAGGTCAAGGTAGCCGCCGTCGGACTCAACTGGAAAGACCTAGTGCTCTGCACAGGCCGCTTCGATGGCAACAACCTGTCCTCCGAGTATTCCGGCATTGTCACGGCCGCCGGCGCCGACTCCGGCTTTATCACTGGCGACCGGGTATACGGGCTTGGAAAGGGGCACTTTGGCAACTACGCCCGCGTGCCGGCGCGTCTTGCACAGAAAGCTGCCTCGGGCGATGACTTGACTGATCTCGCTACCCTTCCTGTGGTGTACATGACTGCTGTGTACGCATTTGAGCACCTCACACGCCTGCGCCAGGGGCAAAAGGTGCTGATCCAGTCTGCGTCCGGCGGTGTTGGTCTTGGGGCTATACAGCTGGCGCGGGCCAAGGGCGCTGATGTCTTCGCCATGGCCGGTTCGGAAGACAAGATACGCTTCCTCGTCGAGACAGTCGGTCTCAAGCCCTCGCACGTTTTCAAAGCGCGCGATTCTGCGGAGCTGGAGCGTGCCATATCCGCAACCGACAACCGCGGCTTCGACATCATTCTAAGTACCGCACAGGGCGACTGGCTATACGAAACGACAAAAGCGCTGGCACCCCTCGGCCACCTAATTGACATTGGCCGGCTGGATGTCAACAACGCTCGCGGTATTGGGTTAGAGCTATTCCAGAAGGGTGCCAGCTTTTCATCCTTCGATCTTGGTCATGTCGTCGAAACAGCCCCGGAACTTGGTGGTGATCTCATGCGGTCCGTAGACGAGCACCTCCGTGCCGGCCGCATCGCCGCTGTCCGCCCTCTGACCCCCTGGGACGTCTCTCAGCTTGACCAGGCCCTACTCAACTTCTCCAAGGGCATGCACACTGGCAAATTGGTGGTGACGTTCCAGAACCCCACGGCTCCGGTTCGCATGATACCAGCATACCCTAGCGTCAGCTTCGATCCTGAAGCGTCATATGTCATCACCGGTGGGCTGAGCGGGCTCGGCAGATCCATCATTCGGTGGATGGCGGACCGCGGTGCGCGAGACATAGTAGTTCTCTCCCGCCGAGGAGCTGCCGTTCCCGAGGCGAAGACTCTCATCGACTCCCTGGCACAACGCGGCGTGCGTATCCGGCCGCTTAGGTGTGACCTCAGCCAGCCGGATCAAGTGTCAGATTCTATTGAGAAGACACGCGCCGAACGACCTCTCAAGGGCGTCGTTCACTGCGCCGTGTCTTACCAGGACATCTCCTTCGAACGTCTGTCTCTCGATGGCTGGCGCGACGGCCTCGCAGCCAAAATCCTCGGCACCCGCAACCTACACGAGGCCACCAAGACCCTCCCGCTCGACTTCTTCGTCATGACCACCTCCATCCTCTCCGTCCTCAGCTTTGCAACTCAGTCCGCATACACAGCCTCCAACAACTTTCAAGACCAGTTCGCGCGCTATCGTCGCCGACTGGGTCTGCCCGCCACCGCAGCCCAATTTGGTCTCGTCAACGACGTCGGCCACCTCAGCACCGACAACACCACACTCGAGCTCATGGCGCGGAACAAAGTCCTCACCATGCCCGAGAGCCACTTCCTCCGTCTGCTGGAGCCGGCATTCCTACCTCACGAGGACGTGGCCTTCGACCCCCTGGCCGCCGCTACGTATGTGACATACATGGACCCGACGCATATGGCGGCGAAGGAGCAGCAAGATGTGGAAGCGGGAATTCGCAGCGCAGCGCCGCCGCGGTGGTGGAGCGATGGGCGTGTGTCGCATGTTATGCGTGGTTTCTACGATGCCCTGCGCCATGGACGGGACAAGACGGCGGGCGGGTCGGCTGGGAATGCTGAAGACGGCCGGTCGGCGACGGCACAGACGCGGCGGAAGTTTAACGAGGCCGTGGGAGCTACGGTGGCGGCGGCACCCGGGACGACGGAACGGGGCGAACTGCGTGAGAAGGCGCTAGAGTTCGTCACGGCGAGCATCTCGGGCACGGTGGCGACGATGTTGCTGTTGGATGAATCGGCAATCAACGCATCCCGCGCCGTGTCTGAGCACGGCGTTGATAGTCTAATTGCAGCGGAGTTGCGCAGCTGGTTCCATAACGCGCTTGGGTCTAAGATCAGTATGGTTGACCTACTGGATCCGCGGACGAGTATCAATGCGCTGGCGGCCAAGGTTGTGGATGCTACCATCGAGGAAGAAGGAAAATAGGTTAATTTGCTTGAGTTTGTAGTTACGACGCAGCCCCCCCGCAAAAAGACTACGGCAAAATTCACCCCATATGCGGGCACAATTCTGGAAACACTATATGGGCACTTTGACCTGTGCCCTCTACTAATTAAGGAAAACAGTACAGAAACCCTATACGTTCCTGCTGGCAGGCAAACCCTCTGAACATCACAAAGTCGAATAGGTTAATTTGCTTTTTGGGTTTGTTTGTTTTGGTTGGTGCAAATGCGGGGATGTACGACTAGTCAAAGTAGATTGAAAATATCCAGAGGTTCCATTTTAACGCGTCCAAACTACATTCTAAACCTAAACATTAGACTTTAGTAAGCTACATTTGACGCGACCCCATACATTGTTAAATGTCCTTAGCCAATTGTATGAGCCGCACTAGTTTATATGGAAAAGGTGTCAATCACGCTCGGTATCGAGGTGCTGCTTATCTTGGCATAAGCCAGCAGAACATGGACATTCGAATAGCACCGGGTCGAGCTGGTGATAATTGAGTCAAGGATTGTGTCCGATACTCTGTTTTTTCCCAGTAGTAAATCCCACGAAACTGCTGATCAAAGGCGGACGAATTTATCACACGAAAATGGTACGAACGCAAGATGATGACAATGTAGTTATGAAGTACAGACTAGGCTAAATACCTGTGCCGCCCCTTTTTCTTTGTATGAACTGAATCCAGAGTTCAAGCCCGATAGGAACCGAGCTGGTTTTGAGATGAAATATTGCCAAGTGGGTTGAATGTTCAACGGCCTCTTACTGGTACTCTATGCAGATGGCGTCGCTGTTGACATCCATGACCTCGGCAATAGTGATGTTCTCAGCAATGCCAGCCATCCACAAAACGTGGTCAAGCGTGGTGGTGTTGCCGTTGTCGTTGAAGTAAGGCAGGAAAGCATTGACGCCGAGAGAAGAAGGCTGGACGCTGGACCAGAAGAATCCCTCAGCGACGTTGTTACCACCAATGTCGGTCAAGCGCGACTCGTTCTGAGCCTGCCACTGCCACCAGATACGGTCCAGGTTGGTGTGGTGGAGGAAGAACAGCGGGTCTCCAGGGGAGAGAGAGGGGTCATCCATCTACAGAGAAACAGTATCAGCACAAGGATCGGGTGAACGCATGAGCAAGGGTGTCACCTACAGTGCCGCCAATGGCGTAGTGTCCGCCGGTATGAGGGGAGGCGCCCAGGCAGTTGTTGAAGTCCACGTAGTTGTCCAAGGCCAAGCAAGCGTCGATGATCTTCTGGGCAGTCTGCTCGTACTGGTTCTGCTTAAAGAGGCGGCTCAGGCACACGGGCTCCACGCGGTTCAGCTCGGTATCGAGAGTCAGTCTGACGTTGGTGTAAGGGCCGTCAGTGACGCAGCCGTTCTCGTCGAGAGTGGTGGAACCGAAGCCAGCTGTGGCGCTGCCGTTCAGAATACTGGCGCTCTCCAGCGGGCCTTCGGCCTGTTCTGCTTGCTCGTCCCAGTACCTTCTCTTGGTTAGCAACCAGATGTCGAAGTTGTTTGGTGTAGAGCATGACTTACGGCATCGGTCCAGTGTAGCCACACTCATTGCGGAGAAGGGTCTCCTGGACAGTCATGTACCAACGGTGCCACGGCAGGAAAGCCCCCTGGAGACCAAATGCATATCAGTCATCGATGTCCCTACTTGGCCATAGGGAATCAGGTAAAGAAGACTTACGACGGAGTGGATGAACTGAGCTTGAGACACATGGGCAGCTTGGAGCTCCTCCCAGACAGTCGTGGAGCCCGCGTACCCGGTCTTGGCAGGGGCCTGGGCAGCATCCATCAAGCAAAGCGTCGAGCTTATGTACGAAGTCTTCTCGCCATCAGTCAAGGCAGACCTGAAGGTTTCCTCCTGTAAGCCATATTCCATCTCTCCAACACGTTGGTTCAGAAGTAGACATACCAAGACTTTCGGACAGACGGGTTCGTGCATGCTGCGCGCACTGCCTCAGATGCACCGAGGGCGATGATCGCTTTGGCCAAGAACTTGTTCATGATTACGGTTTTTGGCGTCAATTAAACGGGGTAATGAGTGAATGAGTGAGTGAAGGAGTGTTGTGCAAGAATGACTGGAGTTAGGCGGTAAAAGAATGTGGTGATGAGCAAAGGTAGAGAAGCTGTGCTTGCCGATATCAGCTTTGGACCGGAAGTCATCGAGGTATTTATCTTCTTGCTGTCTAGAGAATGAATCCGTACACGAAATAGAACGTCTCTAGAAACACGACCACTCATGAATCTCTTCGAGTAGCATTCTCTAGGTTACGCGGCAAGCCAAGCCGGCGAAGACCGATCGTGTGCCGCTGTAATCGGCGTCTACACTAGACGAGGCGGTTCATCCGATGCACCTGTCAAATATCACCTGCACGGTGAGGCTCCGCGGGCTTAGCTGCAAGCATGTATACAACCTTGTTGCATGAAGCCCCATCACGGGAGGAACATGGTGTGTATGCTTAAATTTAGCTGCTGTCCCATGCCTCATTGTACTAGAGCGGCATTGGTCGACGACATTTTCCAGGGGCAGGTATGACTTGCTTCAGGCTAGTTGCTACTGGATTTTGAGCCTGGCAACTCTATCTTGTGATCGCAAGCTTTTCAGGCACCAGGAGCTCTTCCCTACCTATGCTACGATTGATTGAAGAAAAGCTCTTGAAGATACAGTAAAGCTGCAGGGACTAACTACTTACACGCCACGAAAAGCCAACCGAAAAGCGTTGACCAGGGTAAACTAAGAATTTCCTACGCCAGTAATACCGGATTTTATGCGGGAAGTGCTTGAAATGACCCGCAGATAAGCCTAACCCTCAAGAAGAAGTTCTTATGCGGGAGCTCCCAGGTCAGCCGTCTCCGCCGCTCCGCCCCGCCCCGGCCCCTCCCTTCTTGCTCCACACTCATCGAGGAAAACAGGGAGGTCCATGAGGCATGGAATCCAGCCCATCATCAGTGAATCTGTCTTACAATGAAATATCTCAAGACATCAGGTTGAACTTGCGGATACACCTGCCTGAATTATTCAGGGATCCCCTTCGACAAGACACAAAACTGCCATCTTTACCGTCTCGTCATCAGAATCAGCATTGTGATACAATCGGAGCTGCGCGGCCTCCGGTCTACCCCATAGCGAATTCACCGTGGTGTAGCGCCGGTGGGATGCCATGACGCCTTTTTCCAAAGCGTGCGGCTCATCGCGATCGCGACATGGGAAAACTCGACTATCCGCCGCACTACGACTCAAGAACCTGTCAGTGGTTCTGGATGCAGGGGGTTCGCCCCTGAACGGCTGTCTCGGCAGGCAAGCATCGCGTCTAGGCCTTGCGGCCACGGCGGAGTTTCCGCGGAATAGAATGGCTTCTTCCGTGTGATCTACCCCAGGTCATTGATAATTTTGTTACTTGGCAATTAGGTGGGCTGTGATTTGTCGGAGGTGAGGTCGAGATATCGTATTGGACCCCTGCACAGCCGCGCCGTTGGAACTCCATGCATTTCTACGTCTGTCATTATTTTAATCTACGAGTTTAAGGAACTAAAAGGCAGTGTCTGATGAGCTTAGCCTTGGGTGTGTTTGTGTGAGGTCTCCTACCGCCACAATTCAGCTGGTGCTGATGACCTCCAGTGTTGTAGAAGTGGCGAGAGGACCACGTGAGGACCTTTGGGCCTTCAAAGTACCTATTTGCATAATTCTTACGCTTCTTGACACGACTAGTATCTCCATGATGGCTAATCCTGAATTCAAAAGCGGTCGGTGTTGAACGGCAGTGCTTCCCTAACGAGTCTATGGGCGAGGAAGACTGCTGCATTAGGCTTTCTTAAACCCTGCCTGTCAAATTTGGTTCCGGTTCCGGCTAGAACTAGCATATCGGCAATATGATATTCAGCAGGCAAGCAAATAATTGGACCACCTGACTCGATTTAGTGCCATTGTTCAGGGTGGACTGCTTATATGTGTTGAAAGAAAATTTGTGATGAGTGAACACAGTTACCAGTACAGCAATTGTCATATGGAAACGTCCAGGCCGCTCTCTGCTCGATACCTGAATGTCCGCACAATCTACAACTAGTGTGCGGACTTTCGTACCGATCGCCCATGCCATAAATAGGGTTGTAATTGCCAAGATACAATTTCCCGTAGCCACGTATCGAGGATGGGTGGAGGATTGCGAATATCTCGGATTCGGTTTGCCGCACGGGACTTGGCGAATGATAAGCCAGCTAAATCGTCAGTAATCATTAAACGGATTACTCGATCCTGAATCTCAGCTGACACATCACTGCGGGTCCCATCACATCAAGGAGTGTGGAAAGCCAAGCTCCTCGACTGGTGGACGGCGGGTGATGTCTTAGCCGACAGCGGGTCATGAATTAGCCTGCATCACGCAATACCATCGCGAGGATAATACCGAAAGGAGATGGCGGGATGAGAAATGGTCATATAAAACGAAGCGAGGACGACTGTCTAAGTTGTGCACGGAGGCGTTCTGCGAAACTTATTTATTCCGAGTTGAACCTGCTCAAAGGGTTGTCATCCCGTTCGTGGTGAATGTAGTCCATGGCCGGGCTGTCAAAGCCCGACCCTTCCGACTCACTAATCGTCTCGACAAAGTCGTCCTCGTCCATGCCACTGTCATCGCCTGACCCTTCCGCCTCACTAAACATCTCGACATTGTCATCCTGATTTATGCTATTGTTTTTGGCTGACCCTTTCGGATCACCAAACGTGTCGTCATAGTCGAACACATTCATGCCATCACACTCACCTCCGTTGGCAAACTGAATGTCGCCTACGACTAGCCCATGCATACCACGCATGCATGATGAAAGGCTTGGCTGGTGCCGCATCTCCAAGTTCAAGTCGTCATGTTTGAACTTCTGCCGCATGATCGTCAACGCCTCCATCCATGTTCCATGCTTCATAATAGGAGCACCCAATGTCAAGAACAGAGGCCCGTCGCCGAGGAACGCATCCATCATGCCTGAGTCCAGCCAGACGTGTAACAAATCCATCCGGCACGGATGAGATGCGCGTCGGGGCTTCATCACAGCTGGCAAAAACCACCTTCCCGCCCCTTTCTCGAGTATCAAATCCTCAAAGTTAAGTTGTAACCACCCCAAGCTTTCCGAGCTGAGCAACGTGTCGATGAATCCGTCCAAAGCCTTGTCTTCGTCGGCTGAGCGGCAGGGCCAGAAATTTGAGATACCGTCTCCATCCGTTACCGCAAACATCGGCCGTGCTTTTATGCACAATCGCAAGAACCATACGTCCCTCAGAAGCTCATTAGTGTGATGTCTGGCTTCTTCGGTTTGCGGAAATAGCGGTTTGAAGTCAATCGGTGGCGTAACATTCATCTCAAAGGCCTTCAGCCGGACACCTGCTTTTCCCAGTGCTGGCAGAAGTTTTCCAAGAGCATCAACTGACGGGTTTTGTCCTGGATTAAAATCTGCCGCCAAGCGGTTTCATTCCATGGGAGCCGTGAGAAGCTCAATGAGAGATTCATCGCTCGTAACTCTGCCCATACTGACGTATTTGTGTCTCCAATCGTTAGGTTCGTGGGTGTAATCGTACACATCTAGGCGATGTGCTCTGGGCAAGAGTGCTATTGCTTCGGTGACTCGCCGGACAAACTGGTCTCCACCCATGAGCCCTTGATATTCTTGATGTCTCTGTATGTATCGGTTGTACGCTTTCCAGGCAAGTTCTTCCTCCGCCAACGAGTCAGAGTCCTCACTGAGTTCTGAAAGCCTTCCTCGGAGACGGAAAAGCTTCTCTTTGTCTGCTTTTGACAGATTGCCGAAAAATGGTATGAAATTCGATTCATGCGGGTTTCTACTGAACCCAACTCCCCAGTCAAGTTCTCTGCTCACAAATGCCCTGTTCATAGTTTCGGAAGCGTAATAGGAGAACGTTGCAGCAGTTGTGGTAGCCATATGGGAGTAGTATCCCATGACAAGGCGAACACGTTTGATGGCTTTTCCAAAGACTCCGTGTTTTGATACGTTCTCTAGACGAGAAAGAGATTCCTCCGTGGGGCTAACGGTGATCGCTGGTATGAGTCGCAGCGAGGCTAACTCGTTCAACCTGTGACATGTCAGGCGAAGCGATTTGATGGTGTTGAGTTCTTGCTGGTCCACTTCGTACTCGGCGTCGACATACTCCGGGTTGTCCGCCAAGTTGGCATAGTCTTCGCAGTGGTCTATGATTCTGTTGATGATCTCGGTCGGGAAATCATTCAAGCTCAGCTTCCGGCCAAGTCGTCGCTTGTTGATGATGGCACGAATGTGGTCGTGACGTTCATTTAATCTTTTCGCGACCAACGCCTGAGTCTCATCAGAAGCGATTTGCTCCTTAGACATGTGGCTAGCGACGATGACTTCATCATTTTCAACGAATCTTCTAACCGGCCAGTCGTCCTTGATGTGAAGCATTGTTTCGTCCACATCTACCAAGTGCTCGTACAACGTGGCAAGATCGGCATTGTCGAAGGTGCTTATGTCAAGGCTACAAAGCTCATTCCCACGCGCAATGATTGTGTCTCGGTTCCATCTCTTGTCACCCAATTTGGGTTCAGGGGTTTCGTTACCCGATAGATCGTCGTGCCGGTATAAATCATCCACCGTTATCCACTGCCTGCCGAACCATCGGGGTGCCCACGAGGACATTTCGGCAGTTGTGTGGTAAGCCGGCGGTGTTGTATCATTCAGGTGCTAGGTCACATGAGCATAATTGGATCGACCCCTTTACCACAGCAATGAAGGAGCATGGGGACATACCTGAGGGTCGAAATATTACATATACAAAGTTACAAACAGAAGAAGAACAAGCAATTCGAAGATAATACAAAAGTTTCATGCAGACGCATTCTACTTATTGCCTGACTGAAAGACACGGTGCACAGTTCAGTTCGTGAATTCGGTGAAGCCCAGACGCGTCGCAGATGTGGGTCTCGAAAAAGTTGGCATCGCCAAAATAAGGGGCTTCATCACGTGATATGAGATATGATCAT